GATATCACGTCAGCATCGCGTGCGACGTGTTCAAACGGTCCCTGCGTGAGCCAGACGCAAACGTACGCCCCCACCGTTCCTGTCTCTACAACAGCAGAGCATGAATATGTGGCTTCGCTGTCACTACCTGAGCGTGCACCACCTTACTACACCCCTCCGCGCACTTCTGGACCCATCTGTTACAACTATGGCTATTGAGGACCCATCACCCGGTTTTGTCGAAGGCGCCAACAAGACGAACAACGTAGCTACGCTCCTGTTGAAATCCAGGCTTCCGTCTGATCATGACCGACCAACGGCCGCCCTACCACTCTTCCTATCCCCGTTCGACCTCTCCTACCTCCCATAATCACATGGCTGTGAATTCACGGCCGTCTCGCCGCAGGTCGCCATCTCCAGGTTGGCGTTCAGTGTCGCCTCTGTGATCAGTCTCCTATTCTATGAACGCTCCCTCAGAAAACTACCCGATGCAGTTTTATGAGGGGAAACTGGATCCACCGGACAGCTAACAATCAGAGCGGCCTGAACTTGATAGTAGTGTTTGTCGAAGGTGTACACGTTGAGGCTCTCGTAGACATTGGGGCTGCCGTTTTGATTGTTCATGCTGACTTTTCTTCCCGCCTTCGGAAATTGACCACACCTTATGGCGGCCCATTTCCTCCCCGCAAGCCCACCAACGCTATCGTTCGTCCACTTGCACAATGTACGGTTTGTGTCTACATAGAAGGCATTCGGCATCATATCGTCTTTGCGCTATTTTGTAAGTGCACCGCCGAACTCATTCTTGGGTGCGATGTCTTGTCTTGTGCGTCTGCTTCCTAATCTTGTCATCAGCGCCTCCTACATCGTAATGCCACTGGCTCTTCGTCGCTTAAACAAGAAGGGTGCATCCGCCTTGTCACCACGTCATATTATGCTCTTCGGCCACACATTAAAGGAATTATAAGCGTTAATTCTACCGACATTATGGCGATACCCTACCTGATCACCACCTTAAATCAAACCCACGAATTTTTCCTGCTACCCTGTGGTTCAACAGTCACTTGCGCGGTCGGCATTCAGCCTGTTTAAATTGTTGCTCACCGAGCAATAACCATAACGATCTTCTAAAGTGACCATCACCGCCACTCAATGTCTCTTCTCCATATTTGGTGGCAACCATAATCACTGGCCAAAATTGCTCGCCCTATTGAACAACGCTGTTATTTATTCGACCTGAGTTCGCCCGTACTCAGCATGACTACCACCGCTACTCACAGCATCCAGACAGACGGCTCTCGTATTGTACATTAGCGTCCACATCGCATCTCTCTGGCAGAACGCAAGATCAAGGAAAACGTCTCAGACATGCTACAACGTAACACGATACGTCCTTCCTCAAGTCGCATGTCGTTACCAGTTGTTCTCGTCCAAAAAAAAAATAGAACAGTTTGTTTTTGCGTCACCTATAACGTCCGCTAAAGAAAATAATCCGCAAAGATGTTTATCCTCTGCTTTGTATCGATGACGTACTGAACTCATTACATGACGCGAGTATTTTTCTAGCCTCGGCCTCAGGTCAGCCTATACTGGCAGATACCAATGTCGGAATCTGACAAAGAGAAGACCACCTTGTCAACCCCCAGATGGGTTGTACGAGTTTAATGGGATGCCTTTTGAACTTCATAATGCTCCCGCCACTTTCAAACGCATGATAGACGGTGTACTGCGTGGTTTGAAATAAAAAAAAAAACATGTCTATACTATCTAGACGACACAGTAGTGTTTTCATTCACGTTTTCGCAACATCTGTCACGTCTTGATGAAGTCCTCGCATGACTTACAAAAGCCGGTCTACAGCCTAATATGAAGAAATGTACCTTTGCAAGCTAGACAATCAAGGTTCTCGGCGATTTAGTTAGCACAGAAGGAATTGAGCTGGACTCCGAAAAGCTTGCTGCCGTCCTCGACTTCGCTCGTCCACTACGTTGAAAGAACCTGCGCAGCTTTCTTGAATTAACTTCTTACTTCCGGCGCTTAACACGCGGCTTCGCAGAACTTGCACTTCCGCTCTAACTGATAGCAAGAAACGCCACCTTCGTTTGGTCCGAAGACTGCAAAAGCGCTTTCACAGCGCTGAAGCAGGCCCTTACGTCGGATCTCGTACTGTGCCACTTTGTCCTAGATGCACCCACCATCCTTCACACTGACGCCAGCAGTCATGGTCAGGTGCGATACTCCTGCAGCGTGAGAACACCTCGCGTGAACTCGTCCTTGCTTACAAAGTCATGTTCTTACTGCTGCAGAAAAGAACTACGCCATCACCGAGCAGGAGTGCCCAGCTGTTGTTTTGGCAGTGCCAAGATTTCGACCACATATTCATGGCTGTCACCTACAGTCGTTACCCACCATAACACACTGTGCAGGCTTTCATCGCTGAAAAACCTATCGAGTCGTCATGGTCGCTGGGTGCTTCGCTTGCAGGTGATGCCACCGACACATCTGAGAAGAAGCACCAAGACGCTGATACTCTATTACGCTTCCCTCTGCCCAGCGCAGGCAACTCATCATCCCTACTCCAAAACGACACCGCCTCTCCAATCGCAGCGCTAAGTTAACCACCATCCGGCACCCAGTCCGCCCTCGCTTCACAACAACATGCTTACACTTACTGCCGCACCATTGTTAAGGCAATTACTGGCTGTACTCCTTGTCCAAACGCCCGACTCCGTCGGCAACTTAGAAAATTTAAGTTTCCCGGTGGCGCTTTACACCGCTACGTTTACCACGTCGATTGAAACAAATGGGTACCTGTCATCACTCGTCCTCTGCAACGCAATGTTCTGGAAGCTTTTCACTATGATCCCACCACCGGTCATATTGTCTATCAGAAAACTTATGACAAAATATGAAGCTCTTGCTCCTGGCCTGACCTCTCTGCAGCCGTCGTTAAGTACGTCACCTCCCGTGTCCTTCGCCAACAACAAGAACGACCCACAACTGCTCCCGCTGGCTTCAAGCAACCTCTGCCTTGTCCTGCATTGCGTTTTGAAGTCGTCGGAATTGACTTGTACGACCCTCTTTCTAAAACATAGAAGGAGAATCGATAGATTGTCATGACCATTGACCACCTCACGTGCTATGTTGAAGCAGATTCTCTATAATCTGGGACTTCTCAGAAGTCGTCGATTTCTTCCTTCGCAACATCTTTTTGCGCCACGGAGCCCTACGCGTTCTCCTGATTGATCGTGGAAAGGTCTTTCTCTCTTCCATTATTGACGAAGTTTTTCGTGCCTACAAAACTGTTCCCAAATATCATCTAAAGCTGCCACCTGCATACAAACGGATTGACAGAACGCTTCTCTCTGAACCTATATCGGACATGATCGCGATGTATATTGACCACTACCACATGAACCATGCACTCCTGCCCTTCGAGAGAATCGCTTACAATATGGCTGCTCAATGCACTACTGGATTTTCACCATTTTTTGTCGTTCGTGGCCGCTCACGGAGTTTTACTCTTTACGTCTCTTTCCTTTCGGCCCCTCCACCATCGACAAGTTCTTTCTGTGAACATTTTTATCTTGTCTCGCACACTGACGTGACCTGGCCCGCGTTAAAGGGCCAGGCAACAGGCTCCAACTTTTTTGCACCCCCCCCCCCCCAAAGAAGCTCGCGCATCTTTCGTACGCCTGATCAACCTCCTTTCATGCGCAGTGACGTCTTGACCGGACCCAGCGAGTTACTCGTTCCAGCGGAGCCCTGGACTGAGGGCCCGACTATAACTGCCTGCATTCATCTTATTTTTTTTCCTAAATAAAGTTTCTTCCTCCTCTCCAACTCAGTAATTGGCGACGTTGACTTTATTACTGTTTGTTGAGACCTGGTTTAGGCCCATCGACGAGCTGCGTCACGTCACCGGTCGCCGAGTTAAAGTCACTGCGCGTGGAAGGAGGTTGGTCACGCATAGGAAAGATACGCGAACTTGTTTGGGGAGTGTGAAAGAAACGTCGGAGCCTGTTGACTGGCCCTTTAACACTGACCTCACTCAAGAAACACTTGCCTTTCTCAAGTATAGGCGCATCACCTTCGTTGTCACAATGAAGTGACTGGACTGTTGCGTTGCAACGGAAGTGGTTGACGGTTCTATTTTCAGCATGAAGGAAGGAAAACGTTGGGAAAGAACATTTCGCCATGTAAAATAAATAAATAAATAAATAAATAAATAAATAAATAAAGCAGACGTAGAACGTAATCCACGCGGACGCCAAGCATTACTTGCCTTCGTTTACACGACAGGGGAAAAGCTCTTGCATTTTTCCTGAACCCGCCACTGTTGTATAGTGATTCAAGTACTCGACTATACTCACGAACAACTTTTTTCCAATGCAGCGAAGGCTATAGAGCCAAATCGCGCATATCTTACTGCTAATGAATATAGTACCAAAGTTGTGTCTTGATTTTAAACGTGAGATGTTAAAAATACTCGCTTCATTTTTTTGTTTGCATATGGCTCTTTGACACAAGAAGCAGCTCACACGACTGAAATATTTGCATTTCTTTAAATTTATGCATTGTCACTGCGTATTGTGAACGTGTAAGAAAGCGGCGCCTTTTTCGTGCACGGCGTCTGTGTCGACATGAAACGCTGATTGCGCACAGCCATCTCTTACCACAACGGTACAAAATGCGTGACATGCCGGAGTACTTCTCGTATCGACACATGTGCAGCCGGTCCGCACTGTAACTTTTCCTTCATTGCCAAGAAAGCTTGTCCGCAGATATAATGACCCGCAGCTCACGGGATCGAATCCCGGCCACATTTGTGATGGAGGAGAAATATGCCTGAGGCCTGTTCGATTAGATTTAGGCGGATGTTAAGCCACAACTGGTCGAAATTTCCGAAGCCCTCCACCTTGGCGTCCCTCATAATTATAACATGGTTTTGGGTAAACTTCCGCAAATATTAGGGTTATTGTCATGTATATATTTTTTTCTTTTCTCGTGCCCCGTAACAGGAGTTGGCGCCACCATGACGGTGGGCAGTCTATGCCTGGCGCTCTACTACAACATGTACCTGTCGTACGCGCTCATGTACTTGTATCACTCGCTCGGGTCCCACCTGCCCTGGAGCGGCTGCTACAGCTCGTGGGGCGCCAACACGCACGTCTGCTACATACGCAAACCGAACGTGGTGAGTGTATACTCTGTCCATACTCACCCGGATATGTCGCCGAAATATCCGCAGGGTGGCGTACAGTGCGCTTGCGGTAGTTTCATGACTACACTTCTGACACCTTAACATTACGCGTTAATTCAACAGCAAGAAGAAAAACAACAAGGAAACAAATATACGAAGCAAGCTCTTGGAAGATAATTAACGCGTCTTATAGCGGGTAATAGGGACCATGCCCTTTAGCAACCGTACGTAGTTTGACTTAATATTTTCATCAGACAAAGGGCGCTAACCAATTCGAACTAATTCGGTAGTTTTATACGTGAATAGGCTACTTAACAGGAACGCCGAATTGTATAGGGTATCATCACGCCCGTGGCGGTCGCATTTCGATGGAGGCGAAATGCCCGTTGACTGCGCGATGTCGTTAATAAAGAACACGAGTAGGTCGAAATTTTCAGATCCCTTTATTATGGCATCCCTCATAAACATATTGCTGCGTATAGTTATATCTATTATATTACGACACACTGTGATCGTTACATAATTGGATTGAGAAACAAGTACAGATTTAGACTACGGCTGCGAAGCACTTCTGATGAGCTCGCAAAGCTTCTGTAGCAGCGAGTTAGCGAGCCAGCCAGAGATGGTTTGACACAAACGTAAGAAAAGATGAAAAGCTAGGCACGTGGAGATACATAGTCGAATTTGTATGTAGCAACGTGTCTTAACATCGTAAAGTCTGAGGAACATTCTGTGTTTTCATGGCCTAGAGGTGGGAGCTCTGCCATTATCACATAACAAAAACCACAAGAATCAATTTCGAACCGAGATTCGTGAATAAAGCCTGATTTTGCATTACACTGATACGAAATACGAGGTCTTTTAAAAAGTATGCGACCTTTGGTGGAATAAAAAAAAAAACTGGAATAATGGAAGCGTTGGAACTCTAATCCCCCTCAAAGTTGTCCTCTACAGACTCTACACATTTCTCGCAGCTGTGCTGCTGCCATTGTTGGAAGCATTTTGAGAAGGCCGCTTTCGTAACGGAGTTTAGCTCAGCTGTCGTTGCAGCTATTATGTCCCCCTTGTCTGAAATCGCTCTCTTTTCAATGTCCTCTTGAGTTTGGGAAACATACAGAAGTCGCAAGGAGCCATATCAGGAGAGTAAGTAGCCTGTTGAACTACAGGAGTCTGACTTTTCGCCAAAACAGTCTGAACCAAGCCTGGGGAATGTGTAGGAACATTGTCGTGATGGATGCACCTGTTTTACTTGGACCAAAACTCATGTCTCTTGCGTCGCACGGCATGACGTAGGCGAAGGAAGACATCCCTGTAGCACTCATTATTGATTGTTTGACCCTGTAAGCGGTGTACTCGCGGTGTACCACACCGCAGGAGTCAAAGAAAACACTCAGCATCACTATGACGTTGCTGCGCACTTAGCGTTTTTTTTTTGTCTTGGTGACGTGAAATTCTTACAGTGTGATGACTGCGAATTGTTTTCCGGGTCGTACCCGTACACCGAAGACTCGTCAGCAGCGATAATGATATTCATAAAAATAGGGTCACTGCTTGTCAAAATCAGCATGTCCTGTGATGCTTTAAAACGAAGTTGCGTTTGCTCCACCGTGAGCAGTTTTGGCACAAATGTCGCCATTATCTCTTCATGGCGAAATCTTCAGTCATAATGGAATGCGCAGAGAAAGTGCTGATGCCAATTTCTTCCGCAATTTCCCGGATAGTCACTCGACGGTTTCGCATCACCACAGCGTTCACTTCGGCAATGACCTGATTATTTCGGCATGTTGATGGCTGACCAGAGCTTAGCTCGCTCTCCGCCGATGTGCAGCCGTCTTCAAATCGGTTTTACGACTCCTTAATCTGTGTGCGGCTTATAGCCCCGTCACCGAAAGCTGTCTCAATCTTCCAAATGGTTTCTACTTGGCTGTCGCCTGTAAAGATTGAAGGAGGAAGTTGGTGATGGCATTCCACCGCTGCCACCAGTTGTTGCGAATGGGGGTCTGCCCGGTCTCTTGTGGTAGCGTGGTGTAACCGGGTGGAGGAAAGGAACGCTGACAAAAAAAGGATACGAAAACAAACAGGTTTATGGCACTATTTACACATATTTACAGCAAAGAAAGGTTAGGGGTTTCCCAAACCACAAGCGCGGTGGTTGAACTTTACATAGTTCCGAGCGAGGTCCAGCACTTTGCGGCATCGTTTTAAGCCCTGTCGGGCTCCTCTTCTTCGAGTGGAACACCAATCACACACACACAACAGGTGAGGGGGACGAGCATGCACGGTCCACGTGAACGTCCAATATTGAGTTGTGAGCACTGCACTGCAAGGTGGCGCCAGCGGCGCTCTTCCTCGTCGTGTGTGTGCCGCTAGTCGAGAGGTCCCAAGCTCCTGACAGCATACATCAAAGGGTCCGCCAATTTGTTCGCTCAATTAGCGGGGCAATTTGCGGCAGCCGCCAGGGTCTCTTCCAAGGAAGATGCTGTGTTTGTTGTCGTCACTCGAACTGTTTACGGCGTCGTGGCGACGTGACTTCTCATCCTCCGGGCAGCAGGGACAATGCCTGACGAGCATAGGCAGCCGGCCGGTCGGCTACTTGATTGGGGATTAAAAGAGCGCCGCTCCCCCGTCAGCTCTGGCACCGGTCACAACAGCTTCCCCCTCGCTAGATGAGTCGCCGAGGTCATCAGGCACCGCTGGTGCTCGAAGGGACGATGAAAGGGTTCACATTTGAAAGTCAGAAACTCGCCTTTGCATGCGGCATGGTCTGGGTAATTGTCGAAATCTTCAACAGCGTCTGGCACACTGGGCGCCGAAGGGATTGAGAGGCTCCCCAGTAGACCGCCTTACGCACAATGGCGTCTGCCCAGACGAATCGCCGGGCCAAACTTAACACGCCCAGTTTCTGGCAAAGTTAGATGCTGGAGCGTTGCTCCATTCACTTCGTCACTTTCCTTGCAATGAAAAACTGGCGAGAGCACTGCGCATTGCCTCACTCAAACGCTGCGTCCCAGCGATTGACGCTATTGGCAGGCGGGGAAAAATTCACGCTGGTGCACGAACGTGTAAGGTCGGCTGATGCAAGCCCACTTCCAGTAGGTGCTCGCAAAAATTAATAAGGTCGGATATTTTTTTAACAGATCTCGTATTAAAGAAGAAATCTACAGTGACTTCCCACGGCGTGAATGCTGGCGACTCGGGAAAGTGGGTGCTACTTTCTTGAGCATTTCTCACAAAGTGTCTCTTGTGTTTCCAAGATGGCATGGCTTGTCTTCAATATTTGAGGAAGTGCATGAAGCATGGCATTACTTCCACGGGCGCAGTCCCCGAATACCATATTGGCTGTTCGTGGAAACCGATTTGACATGGAGGCTGTCGGTAGGATACCCACTCCGTAACCAGTCTTGAGATTAGACAATTGAGGCTGCTTGGGCAGATGTGCGTAGCCGCTGGCAATAACATGATGCAGTTCTTGGCTAAGGCACGTTGCCAGGCTACTTCGTTTAGATTCACGATTTTAAATGGCGTAACGTCTCACGACAGGGACAGACGATACCACAAGTGCCAGATAGCACTCTGTGCATGGGCGTGTGCGTCCTTTTCTTTCACTGTCGTGATGCGCTAGGCCATCGAACATCGATTCTCGGTGGCATAAAATACCCTCATATTGAAACTTCAAGGATGGCGAAGCTTCACGTTTGAGTGGAACAAGTTAGCGTTACATGATAAAGTTTCTATAGCCTTGCCGTTTTTCGCTTCTAGATGGACTTGAAAGGACGCCCAGGTACGTTGTCGGCTCTCGTATGGATGCATCTGCGAAATCACCACTGTGCCGCTATTCACCATTTTTAGAGCAGTAAAACAGAAAAAAAAGCATATTGTTAGTGAAGTATATATGTACAGGACTGCACCTCTATGTAATGTGTGGGAAGCCTTTGAACTGCTCACTCGTTTGAAAACAAGTCTGTGGTGCTTAGTGTTAATCTCCTACCCCCCCCCCCCCCCGACATTGCAGCCGGTTAACTACGCTCGTATGGCACGACGCTTCTACAGAGTATTTTTAGAAGTAATTTCAAGCAGTGGCGTTGACGAATTTGAACACCTGGCTGACATGCAGAGTGTTTGTGGTTTATTCGCAGGTCGATTCACTCGGATAATTATTTATTATTGTTTTATTTGTTATTGTTTTACAGCGTACACCCTCCAGGACCCTAATTTAACGAGATGGGAACCTCAGTGCCGTAGCCAGGATTAGCACACCTAGAGATGCGAAATTTCGGGAAAGTTTGAGCAATCGAAAAAAAAAATCTTGTTGTTATTATGTTTCCCCCCCGAAATCTTGAAAACAAAAAGTGAAAACGAATGAATTTTCTTCAGCATATGACAATAGTTTATTGCCATATGGTAATAGTTCATGCCAAGTGTCGAAAAGATCGCAGATGTGCATGACCACAGCAGACCACACCCAAACAACGAAGCTATATACGCTATAGACTCAAGCTAAGGTGACGTTGGAAGAGCTTACTTTACGTGATGTCGATGGCGAGTCCTCAACCGTTGTTCGTTCTCTTGGTATCATGTGCGATGTTCTGGTTTCACATTCGACGCTGGGGGCTACCTAAGGTTTGTGTGCGTTACACCTCACGAAAATTTCAGCCAATTAAAAAAAACAAGAAAATTCTGCCCCCCCCCCCCCCCAAAGAAAACCCTGTTTTTTTTTCTCGGAATTTTTCTGTTTTTTTCGCATATCGCATCTAAAAGCACACCAAACCTGTGACCCCCCCCCTCCCCCATCCCCCCAATTTTTTCGGCCATTGCATACATAGTGAAAAATGACAGTTTGCCTACTCGGGCCCTCTTTCAAATCGAGGTACCCCCCTTTCTCTCGAAAAAAAAAAACGAATTCTGTCTACGCCTCTGCGCTGTGCGTAAAAGTGAAATCGAAGTAGTGCGCAAATATGTTCTAGAATGACTTGTGCCTGCGACTGTACAACTGTTTCTCAAAAAGACTATAAACGCACCCGTAATCGGGCTTATTTTTCTCATGGCTGAATACATTTGTATTAGGCCATGAATAAATTGCTTTGCAAGTGAGTGAACTTTACAGTAAAAATCTCGTAGCTGAATATAGTTTACCGATTCTGATTACCACTTCCTCCTACGAATAACTAAACGAAATCAGTTTTCTCTTGTATTTTATGAAATGGTGTAATGTTACCTTTATCCTCTATCGCATAGTTTTGTTATTCCATAGCTAACCTGTGGCACTGTCTCTGCTTGCAGAGAACGTGCAAAGCTGCCGCTCAACGCCTGTACCAGCGGTTCAAAAACACCAACATCACCTTCGGCGTGGTCGTCAACTCGACCAACAACAACATCGTGTACGTGCCGCACAGGGCTTACACCGTCGAGATGGCTGGCTGTGTGAACGCTACCATGTCGGCCGCCGAACATTTCTACTGGTGAGCTTTACCAACCGCGACGTCCGCGCGAGTAAGGATCTCGTAATGTTTTTTCACGCATTTCAAGCATACGAGTTTCACAGGGGAAATGGTGTGTGTTGTGTGTGTGTGTCAAAGCAAAATACTCATTAAGGTGAGCTACGGTGATACAAGCATTCTAACAGGAAATGTAGAATGAAAGCTGGTGAAGTATATACCAGAAGTAAGCCAGCCATAAAGGTACATGTTGTCATGCACACTATATGTATACCATTATGCACAGTTCAACGCAAAGGAAGAATGGCAGGTGGACTTGAACCTGGAGAGCGGAAGTGATGTCCTTAAGTAGCTATAGTGCAAGTGCATATATAGTGAAGACCAATATATAGTGAAGACCAAGGCGTAAAGAAGTGATAGGGTGAGCCGGAACCACTGTAGCTGTTGTTTGGACAGCACGTGCCACGTGACTGACATGACAGGTGATATCAGAAAGGATAACTTTTGTGGTGTGAGCGAAGCCTAAATACAGGAAGACGTAAAGATCTGTAATAAGTGAGGCGTAATGCTTACTCATTTCGCTGGAAACCATCTCAAACTACTGCTCTCCTTTTTAACACGAAAGTGTTTTATACCAGTTACCACCACGGCTCCGCTGACGCATTTCCGTCACGAATATGACGTTGCAAAACATATACTAACAGATCGCAAAGGAAAAACGAGTGTGCAAATTCCCGCTGCGGGGCGTCAAACCAGCGACATCGTGCTCTTCATCACGCAACTCTAAATCCTAAGCCACAGAAGAAACCTCTAACGCCTTCATGGCGAGCCATTTATATACATCACGTATCACTGGTCGTCCTCAGTGCTTAACAACTTAAGCACGTTTTCGTCATCTCGAGCAAGATGGCACGACGGGCGTAGCATTGAGCGCGCAGGAAGGTCGCCTTGCCGCGCCACCCCGCGTGTCGCTATGCGCGTGCGCCCCCAACTGGCTTGGTCAAAGTGCATATAGACGTTCTTTAGCGTGGTGGCTCACTCGCGCGCGCTTATCTCGAAATCCCGGCGCTTTGTCGATGTTGCGCTTCCACCGGAAGTTTACCTTGAAGTTACAATGGTTAAACAGAGCACGAACGTCACTTCGCTCGCGGCCGCGGCTGTGTTTACTAATGAAGCGCGCTGCTCACGCTAGACTAGCATGAATTGGACAGCTGTTTGCATTTGTCCTGTGCATACCTGTGCGTTCATTTCGTGCGTCTCTCGTTCTGTTAGAGCAGCGTGTTTTAAGTGCCCAGCTGTGAGAGTTGTTTGTCCGCGCTCGTCCCGTCTATGCTTATTTCGTGCGTGCTTTCTGCTTGAGGTATGGACTGGAAGTTTCGAGCTGCTTGCCGTTCTTCGCGTGACATTGCAATTCTTTGCTGTAGCCTTCATTCTTTTGCCCTTTGTTGAAACGTTGCGCAAGGAATGCTCACCTACCTCTGTGAGGAGACGTTTCACTTTCGTGTTATAGCGACTTCTAAAAAGAGAGATCAGCCACGTTTTTCTTTTATTCCCTCCCATCATATTTCAGCTACGGTTACCGAAGTGTCTGATGTAGGCAATACGCAACCGCAACTGACCCACCACCGTAATGGAGAAGCAATGAATGCGAAACAATGAATCAAATTGTGTTCGCTATTCATTGTTCAAGTTGTTCAACAAATTGGAATGTATGGAGTAAGGCTAGCAGCTCGCTCTTTTAGCAGGTGACCTGGCGTAATTCAGGAAAAGCGCTGGCGTATGAAAACGTGCCAGCTCCACTGAGGAAGCTCGTCTCGTTCTTTCTATCGCTTTCAGGAAAGCTGATAATGGGAACAAAATACGCATAATGGTATGAGCCGTCTTGCTAATTTCCTGTCAAGGTAGTGCGTGCGCAATCGCGCCACAAGGTGTGCAATTTTTACCGAAAACACGCAGCCCCGAAGCCATTCTACCCTCCTGGACTTTCCGTGGCCTTTAGCGCGACTGAAGACGACTTACGCGCTACCTTTTTGCTTGAGCCATAACCGTTAGCAACACTTGTGGGCGCCCACTAGCACATAAAATACGCCGACGCGCGGGAGGATTTGATCACCTTCAGACTTTCTGTATAACTCCAAGAAGACTACAATATTACCGCCTGGAGTGTTCATATAATTGATAACTAAATAAAAGAAAATAAACCATGCCTGATGAGGCACTTCAATTTAACTTCGCAGGCGATGAGGGACTTTTGCAGCACACACAAATTAGAGCCTATCATAACGAACAGGCTTGCTCGCGTGCCAGAAATAGTTCGATGCACCGTATGAGCAGACATGTACAAATACTAACCTCTGGCTAGGTCTTTTTAATTTGCTGCTATAGAGGCGCCATCACTATAACCTACTGATAGAAGAGTCACTCGGCTGCTTGCTATAAATGCCTTTATTTCGTTGGAAAAAGAAATTCAAGGAAAAACTCGCCAATTAAAAGCATTACACTGGTTATGGTAGGTACTTATTCGGACCTGTGCTCCTCAGTGTTTGTTTTTTGTGATCGGCTGATTGATACACCAGTTGGTTAGTTAATCAAAAAAAAAAGGAGGTGCGATTAAGAAGGGTTGTCGTCCGTGATTACTGATGCGTTGCGCTTTGAATCGTACAACAACATAGCTCAGTTTAAACTTCTTAGTGAGCGAGCACATCTATTTTTCTTCTCTGTTATCGCAGGGACAAAGTTCTGAAAGTGAGCCGAGGCCTGCATGACGTTCGGCCTATGAACATCGACCTGACGCTCTGCTACTTCCTCGTCTGGCTCACCATATTCGTCATGATCAGCAAGGGCATCAAGTGGTTCGGAAAGGTGCAGATGCCCTCCTTCGCTTAACTATATACACTATGCTAAACACTTGACGGTCACATCACTGTTGGGGAATCGGTTTACCATGCCAGTATCAATCCACAGTGCTGATTGAGCGCGAAACAATACCCTGAGAAAGAACACAGAACACAGCACTGGTCGTTATGCTCATGGTAAGCACTACGCATGTCCTACCGGTATGGTATAAAGAGTGGAGTGACGCAAAAAATAATGTCAGTCGAGAGAAGCGCTGTGTTCTGTCTTCTTTCTTGTGGTGTCGTTTTGCGCTAAATCAGCACTATGAAGTCACACAAACTATCCCGCCAACGCGTTCTGTTGATTTATATGTCGTTTAAAAAAAAACGGAAGCAAGCCAGGTAACATTGACTGTTGCGGAAGAAAAAAAAATTACAGCATATGCACGGGGTGAATGAAGACGAGTGGGCGAAGCTCCAGAGAGAATCATTGGTAAAACCGTGAATCTTCTGTGTGTAATTAACCCAGTCGATCATGATCTAAATACATCATGAGAAACACTGTGTGTACGTATAGAAATCAACTTTTATTTGTTCTTCGAGACAATGGACTGCTTGCGGTGTCCCTTCATTATGACGGCTTCGTGGTCCATGAAATGAAGGGTGAGCGCTTTTTGAATAAGTTGCAGTGAAAAATTTGCAAATACTAGGTCAATGCATGTTCCTCGGATCGTGGTTGGTTTCATATGGTCATACAATATACATCTGTGTGCATATCTAGAAGCCACATGTTGGATAAGCCAATCATTGGTCGTGTCTGCGACATCAACGTTCACTTCACCAACGAGTATGACCGTTGCATTCTTGTACTATGTTTAAATTTTAATACATACAAGCATCATCAGCGACATGTACTGCCATCTAGTTCCACATTCAAGTACCGCCATCGGTGGCACATACCCGCTCTAGAGTGGGTATGTGCCTCAGGTGGCTACGTACACCACCCACAACAAACCCCATAGGATGTCCAGACTCGCGCCCTAGGAGCTTCGCCCCTAAAAGGCACCTATATTGAGCCTCTCTTTAAAGAACATTGTGTAATGCCTCCTGCATCTCGCCTGCCAATGTATACGCCACAACCTGTGCGACCGTCCACCGCGCCGTTTCCACAGCAACACGCCGGAAATCCTTGGCGCACCGCTGACAACCGGCCTATATGTTACTTTTGCGGAATTCCAGGTCACGTTGCACGTCTATGTCGTCGGCGCTTCACAGTTAACGCACCAAGATATCCTGACTATTCGTTTCGACCTCCATACCACGCGCCTCACGTACCACCTGAAGTTCACGAACGCGATGCGCAAACTGCTTCCGGCGCCCGAACATTCGCTTCTAGACGTTCTACTTCCCGCTCGCCTTCACCTTCACCAAGTCGTCGATCCGTGTCGCCTATGCGTCGACGACCCACCTCCATTGAGACGGAAAACTAACTGCCGCAGCTCCGGAGGCACGAGCTGCGTCATCGACTAATCGTTTAAGTCCTCGCCTGTCTCCCGCCAATCTTATCGATGTAATCGTCGAAGGTGTACGAACACTCGCACTCATCGATACCGGTGCCGCGATATCTGTGATTAGTGAGAGACTCTGCCGCTCTCTTCGTAAAGTGACGATGCTTTCTCCCGTGGTTTCTCTTAGTACTGCGAGCGCCCAACAAATTGAGCCCGTCGCGTCATGTACAGCAAAAGTTGTGATTCGAGACGTGTTGTACACCATTGAATTTCACGTGTTGGCTTCATGTTCCTACGATGTCATCCTAGGATGGCATTTTTTATCACGTCATCACGCCGTCGTGGACTGCGCTCGGGCCGAAGTGGAGCTGTTACCGTTTGGTGATGCGCCGTCTGTTGATGCGGTCGTATCTAGTGTGGCTAACCTTGTCGTCGCGACGGACATAGACCTTCCTCCTTTCAGCGCCCAGTTTGTCCCTGCCTGCTGGGCTTCACTTTCTGACGCTACCGTCCTATTCACGCCATCTGACATCTTCGGTAGCCGCCACCACACATCGCTGCCATTCGCCGTTCTTGAGCTTTGTCAAGACACTACCGGGATATTTATTTCCAATCCCAACTCGTGCCCCCTCAGTTTGCGCCGCAACGAGACGCTCGGCCACATTCAGCTCATCGATGAAGGTACTATCGTGCCTGCCGATTTCTTCGACACCAAGCCGAATATGGATATGGAGCTGAACGCGTTGGTTCCTCACTTTGCCTTTAACAGCGTGTCTACCGATGCATTTCACCATTCTATTGACAGCCATCTCGCCCCGGCTCAACGAGAGCAGCTTGTTACCCTGCTGCACGAATTCAAGCGTTCGTTTGACTTTCCCCAAGCGGTGCTAGGAAGAACGAACACCGTTGTGCACACTACTAACACAGCGAAAAGTACTCCTTTGCACCAGCGCCCCTATCGTGTGTCCCCGTCGGAGCGTCGCGTAATTGCAGAACAAGTAGACGACATGCTACAGCATGCAGTCAACAAGCCTTCTTGTAGTCCTTGGTCTTCCCCAGTTGTACTCGTCAAAAAAAAATGATGGTTCAGTCCGGTTCTGCGTAGACTACAGGCGCCTAAACAACATTACGAGGAAAGATGTTTACCCTCTTCCCCGCATAGACGACGCTCTCGATTGTCTCCAAGGTGCAGAATTCTTTTCCTCGCTTGACCTTCGCTCGGGTTATTGGCAGGTCCCAATGGCTGAGTCTGATCGTCCAAAAACGGCGTTTGTCACACCGGATGGCCTCTATGAATTTACCGTGATGCCATTCGGACTCTGCAATGCGCCTGCCACATTCGAGCGAATGATGGACAGCATTTTACGTGGTCTCAAATGGAACATTTGCTTGTGCTATCTTGATGACGTTGTCGTTTTTTCACCCGATTTCACTTCGCATCTCACTCGTCTGCGCAAGATTCTGCAGTGCCTTACAAACGCCAGGCTTCAGCTTAACCTGAAGAAGTGTCACTTCGGGGCTAAACAACTCACCATACTTGGTCATGTCGTCTCGAAAGCCGGCATTCTTCCCGACCCTGACAAGCTTCGTGCTGTTGCCGAATTTCCTAAGCCGACTACTGTTAAAGAACTACGGAGCTTTGTGGGCCTGTGCTCCTATTTTCGTCGCTTTGTCCGGAACTTTGCCTCCATCATCGCTCCACTCACCAAACTCCTTGCTGGCCCTGCAGATCTTTCGAATTGGACAGCAGCCTGTGACGAATCCTTCGCAACACTGCGTCGACTCCTTACCTCACCACCCGTACTGCGCCATTACGACCCTACTGCGCCAACCGAAGTACACACGGATGCAAGTGGCGTTGGCCTTGGTGCAGTACTCGCGCAACGCAAGCCAGGTTTTACGGAGTATGTGGTCGCCTATGCCAGCCGCGCCCTCACTAAGGCAGAAGCCAACTATTCTGTTACGGAAAAAGAGTGCCTCGCGATTGTGTGGGCGTTAAACAAGTTTCGCCCCTATTTGTACGGCCAAACTTTTGATGTGGTAACTGACCATCACGCACTCTGGTGGTTGGCTTCGCTAAAAGATCCTTCCGGCCGCCTCGGACGTTGGGCACTACGCCTCCAGGAATTTGACATACACGTCGTCTACCGATCGGGGCGAAAGCACTCTGACGCAGATGCGCTTTCACGATCACCCGTGAAATCCGATGATACGGATATATCAGCCCTAGACCTTCCCCTCTCTGCCGTCAGCGTCACAGACATGCCATCCGAACAGTGCAAGGACCCTTGGATCGGCTCGCTATTGAATATGCTTTCTGACGCATCAACTTCCGGTTACCCGTGTGCTCTTCGCCGCCAAGCAACGCATTTCGCCATACGGGATGGCCTGTTATACCGTCGCAACTATCAAGTGACGGGTCGTAAATGGCTGCTAGTCATACCCAGCACCTCCACCACTTTGCAAGGGGGTTTATTAGCGACGCCAGGTAATAGGCAGACAGCCGGTACAGAAACAAATGCTCGGGCAGTCCAGTGTCTACAGCTCGTGCTCGCGCTTCGGACTCAGCGATGGTCCCACTATCATTGCCTTGCGAATTCCCCACTACAATTGGTATAATACGAGTGTGGGAGAGGAAAGTCACGTGTGTGTAATTGCTTCGAAGGTGGGGTCATGTGCGGAATATGTAATACGAGTAGTGTGGATTAGAGTGCGTGAAGCGCGCAGACTTAACTTGAGTCACTATAGCCCCGGGGCAGTCAATCAGAGTTGTTTAATAAAATATTCCAAAGAAAAAATATTGGCGGATCCAATTAAACTTCGCCTTTAACAGTTGAACGTTATAGCGATATCCTGTCCCGAGTGCATATTCGAAGCACTTAGTGATTTAATTCTTTTCGGACTAGCTCTGCACCCAATACATGGCCTTTAGAGAATGTAATAGGTGATCGGCATTAAACCTTGAAATCATTAGGATTATCATCTTCTGACACCCGATGGCAGTGCACGCTTGTAACACCAATCATTACTGCAATAATTTCATGTTGCATTGTGAAGCATGCATAGAGGACCCCTGTGTTTGTAGAGCATGAAAGTTGCTTTCACTGCATCTCCAAGAAGAGGAAGCTTTTTTTTTTCACTGCATTCACAAGCAGACTCGTGGCCTTGTAGTAGAACACGTGCCGGCCTCGCAAACGACCCTAGTTCGAAACACATTCGAAACCAGAAGATTTTGTTTATCTTATTTACATCATCCTGGATTTTTCGTTTACGCTATTTGGCGCTATCACGTTAAAGCGCGTGGAGGTGGAGGGGAGCTGTTATTGCAGTACATACATACGACTCGGAATTAAAGTGCTGCAAGTGAAAAGTCACCTGGCACCTCTAAGCGGAGAGAAGTGTAGTAGTGTAGCAACGAAAGTCTGGAAAATGGGATGAATATACAAAAACTCTGATGTGACCGGACGTCATACTAACTATTTCAAGCAATGTGGTCAAAGCATAAAGCCGTGAAACATGAAATAACAATAAAAACACGAAAAAATATGTGTATTTATCGCGGATATGCAATGCTGATTTAGCGGATTGCCCCGCCGCGGTGGTCTAGTGGCTAAGGGACTCGGGTGCTGACCCGCAGGTCGCGGGTTCGAATCCGGCTGCGGCGGCTGCATTTCCTATGGAGGCGGAAATGTTGTAGGTCCGTGTGCTCAGATTTGGGTGCCCGTTAAAGAACCCCAGGTGGTCGAAATTTCCGGAGCCCTCCACTACGGCGTCTCTCGTAATTATATGGCGGTTTTGGGACGTTGAACCCCACATATAAATCAATCAATTTAGCGGATTAAATGTGCACTAGCCACTTAAATCTCCGCTTGAAATTTTCCTCACAGCATCGTGATTCCGCAGCAACTTCAGGTTGTTTGTGACGTGATGCGCAATGCACTTGCGGACAGATCAATTTATTTTGTGTTTTGTTGCAGATCGTGCTGGTGACGGCCACCGTTCCCTACCTGATGCTGTTCGCGCTTCTCATGAAAGGGGTATCCCTGGATGGCGCGAACTCGGGCGTCGGCTTAGTGTTCATCCCTATATGGCAGCACATTTTCACCTTTAAGGTAAGCGCGACAGCTGAGGCTCAGCAAACATCACGCAACAAACACGCTTGGACTACCTCATTATTGCGATGAGTTTTGCCCACAAAGCAAAGTAAGACTTCAGATGAAATGATAGCGGCACTGTTCATATACCAGCGATTAGGTTCAATCATGTTTCACGTTCGATCTGATTACACACTCTATTATTCTTTACAAATGGATGAAAACATTCATTGGTTTGTAACGTAGAAAGCAATTTTCGAAGCTGCGGCATCACAGGCACGTGGATCTAATCGATAAACCGTAAAAGTGAAACAGCAGAAGCTCGATCCCCCTCAACACGCAAACTGGTGTCTATATCAGAAAAAATTAGCCATACCGATATTGTGGTTATAATGAGCAAATGAATGTTTGTCACTGTGTTACCGGTGTTACACACAGCCGCCTACCCCCTGCCCCACTCTCGCGTTCTTTATCGATCTCGGTATCATCAGTGCCATTCGGAAACACACCGAATGAGGCATGTTCGCTAAACTTTATGGTAACTTCAATAGTGCTAAATGCTGTAGGAATAGACATAAGGCCGCACTGAACTAAACAACTGAACTAAAATTTTGAACCACTAAACTGAAGAAATGAAAAGAAAAGACCACACTGAACGAAAGCTTTTTATGTACATCGTCACAGGCTTGACTGTTACTGTCGTGATAGCGCTATTAACCGTTGTTTTTCACGAATCAAAGACTAAGCTTGTCTCGCGCTGTACAAAAGGCGTAGGCTAGGCAAAAAGAGAAATGGAGTATAACAAATGAACAGAGGTGAATACAATAAAGACGTGGCATAGTATCAGTCGTTGTTACATCGACAATCGTTTCCTCTTTTTCAATACATTCACAAATCTAGTGTTGGAGAAACGCAATCGAACAAGCTCTCACATCTCTCTGCATCGCCACCGGCTGCCTGACGGTGCTGGCCAGCTACAATGACTTCTACAACGACATATTCCAGTAAGATTTGGAATTTTTTTAATGATGTGGAATGGTGCCGTCGTTACATTGCCAAATTGTCTGACTGATAGGTATTGAATAGACGTTGGCGACATTTTTTTAACGCAGTGGTGTTAGAGCTCGTGTGGCAGAAATTTGAGCCGGCCAATAGAGAAAGATAATAATAAAAATTATAAAATAAATAATACACGTTTCTGGGTCTCAGTGAGGATCGAACCTAGGCCATCTCTATGGAAAGAGCTTTGTACCATAAAGCCCCAACATCTATTGAATTTGCTTTGAATAAAAAAAAAAAACAAGCGCGTGAACTGAGCTACGAGTAAGTGCGCTCAGACATATTTATTGACCACCACCAGCAGCACAATGATCCACAAAGGGAACAACGGCGCAGGTTCGCGTGCTACCCGACGGACGTGTAGTGGGCTCTTCTCTGATTGCAAAAGGAATAATAATGGCGTAATGGACACTTAACTGTGCTTATTGTAGACATTCAGTCATGCTTTGGTATGGCTAATGTAACGTCCAAAGTCATTCGTTTACTGGCGCCACACTTGAGGCATGTCATGCACCAAAAACCGAATTAAGTGCCAACCACTTGCATGCGTATGCACACGCCTACGCGTCAAAAGCGTCTAGTCGCGCCTGTGGAGGAAAAGGGCGCGCAACCACTGGCACGCGTCGACCGCGTTGACGCCCACGCGTCCAAGGCCGATGCACAATGTTGCTTTATCTTTTGGCTTAGAACTGTCCAAGTTCAGCACAGAACGGCACGTTCTCAACTGGAGCGGGAATGTATGTTTAAGAGGATATGAGAACACGTTAACAAGTTGACAGTGCTTCAACCACCACAGTTTAGGCTATTTTAGAAGTAATTGACATTTCTGTGCCCAAAGTAACTACAGCGGTATGCACCAGAAATCAACATCGGTGCGTGCGCCGCTCCCGCGAATGAACATTCGCGTACTGTACGTCTATCATAAGCGTGTGCAGGGTTCTCCTTAAGGACGTGGTGGGGGGGGGCAAAAGTTTGTCCCAGTGCCCCTCCCCAGGGCTGACTTAGCACCCCCTCCGTATTATGTTAATATATGGAGTTGACATTCAGCTCTCCCCCCCCCCCCCTCCTCTCTGCCGTAAATGAGGCGTGGCTACCTTCCTGATCAGGTTTACAAACCACCGGGTTTCTGTACCTGCACTACCAAAGTTACTAACAATATCTTGCATATACTGGTACCTTCAGTATATTTACACAACATATTTTATATCAGTCAACTTAATAATCACGCCTGCAACTTCATGATCTGACAGATTTAAGTCAGTCATAAGACTACAATTGAGGCCAGAGTAGCAGGCTTTCGGCTGATGTGTGTGTTTGAAATATCCTCTAATGCAACAAAGCACACCTGGTTCTTATTGATACAACTGATATTGGCCATAAGATAGGAACCAAATACTGCATAGAATGCCTTCGGGCATTTTTCATAGTCGAAATGTGCTCTAATGCAACTAAGTGTGCCTGACACTTCATGATGTGACAGATATCGGTCGTAATATTGCAACTGACCGCTGTATGGAAAACTTCTGGGTGTTGTCTTTAGTCAAAGTATTCTCTAAAACGACAGCCAACTGTTCATGAAGTCACAGATATCGGTCCTAATATTAGAACTGAAACCTTAATGCAAGCCTTCTGGACGTTGTCTTTAGTCAAAGTATTCTCTAAAACGACAGACGACACCCAACTGTTCATGAAGTCACAGATATCAGTCATAATATTAGAACTGAAATCTTAATGCAAGACTTCTGGACGTTGTCTTTAGTCAAAGTATTCTCTAAAACGACAAATGACGCCCAACTCTTCATGAAGTCACAGATATCGGTCATAATACTGGAACTGAACCCTTCATGGAAGGCAGCCAAAATGTTCTCCAATGCAATAAAACACACCCGACACATCATGATGCAACAAATATTAGTGACCAGATTGGAACCGAGCACAGCGTGGAACACTTTCGGATGGTATATTTATTTATTTTCAAATGCGACTGCTCACTGTGAGGCTACTGCAAAAGTGGCGTACATATATACATAATGAAAGGATTTAAACAGTAATATCACATTAAGTGTGCCAACGTAAACAAGTATCACTACCCTTGAGTGCACACCTGTAATAAATGAGAGAGATAGGACATTATTATAATACAAGTGCCTCCGAAAAGTCAGACACACTGGTATTAGGAATCAAACCAAGTAGATCAATCCAGTGTTTGATAACTTTATTTGAACGTGTTAGAGAGCTCTACAAATGACTTCTGAGCTGGATCTTGATTGCGGATCAGTGCTGTGTTGAAGACTTCAGCACTTTGCTGGTAGTTTAAATATCTTTTAACATCTACAAAATGCATCTGACACTTCTTGATGAGACAGACATTGGTTTTGAGATTACAGCCAAGCACTATGGCTTTGACATGTCATCAATTGCCAAAATACCCTATAATGCAATAAAGCATGCCAAAAATTTTTGATGGCACAGATATCGATCATAGGATTGAACCAGAGCACCGTACAAAAGTTTTGGCAAGTTTTCCAACAGAACTAAACTGAATATGCTTAAGTGCATGCATATACTAAAAAACTGAACAGAAATGAAGGAATCCTTGGAAACACATACAAATATTCAAAGTTCGGAACCATCAAATAATATCTTCAGCTCAGTATAGTCTGGAGGGACAGATAAATACATGCACAGCTCTGAAAGGTCTCATAAGTCACATGAGGTTCTTTTTGCATTTCTTCTATACAAAGTGCAGTACCATACTAGTGCACCTTCATTCATTCTGTGCATACATGTGGTGATCTTCTCTTCCAACAATCGTGTCATCGTGCAGCTGATTTCAAATCAGGTGCTTCTCACAAGGTTTTCAGTTATCTGTCCAGCTGTAAACAGAACGTGCGTTATGTTACAGTAAACTGTAAAACGACGGAGAAGCACCATTGTATGCCTATAGCTATGAGTATCAGAATGAACTATAAATTAAGAATGTGTGTGTTGAATGCCTCCAAACAACGTATGTGCTACTGAGCGTGGCTGAGAAGCAGAAGAAGCGAGAAGTGAAATAGCAGGCAATACCAGCAGCTCTTAATCATGCAAATTTCTTTTTCGATCACCACAGCAACGCACGCTCGAGTTTCTGTCTTGTACGTGAATGGAAATGAGACCGCTGACAGCTGAATGTTTCAGCGTTGGTGGTATCCGACACGAAGTCACCTCACACTGCTACCAACCAGCGCACGCTTGGTATTAGCTTGGCAACACACGAAAACGATTTGCACCGAAGCCAACGAATGTTTCCACGTCATACAATTCGCGAATACACTTATATAAGTTCGTACGTTTTCACATCACGGAAATGTGTTGGCTAGTGCTAGGTTCGCTTTCAGCGATGATGAATACCGATGTTGTAAACAAACACAGTGCAGATAAAAACGGCTCCGTATTAACTACGCGATATTTCGGGCGTCGTATATGGTGTCTATGTTGCGACGGTAACTACCGTAGAGTTTTTTCAGCCGATGTTCCTCGCATGTGCTGGTTCATACGAACTAGATGGTAGAGGCCTGCGCTGGATGCAGATGACACCGATCTGAATTGCTTCCGCGGTAGGCGAGGGCTCACGCTCAAACCTTCGAACCTCCGAAGTCTGTTTACACTCGTTTTTAGCACAGAAAGTCACAGATCAAAGCACAAGAACACCGACATGCTCCTCTCGCTCGGCCGACGATCGCACACGGGACCGGCGCTAGCATAGCCGGCCGGCATTCGCTGGATTTGTCGGTGTCGCTCGAACTCGGCACTAAACCACGTCACGCTGGTAGCACTCGCAGTCGTTCGTCGTTTCGTTGTCGTTCTAGATTACTAAGCGGTCATTCAGGAACGTTTGGAGTAGTTTTCATGGTTGCTTTCAGCACTCGGCTACCCCGCCACGGTGGTCTAGTGGCTAAGGTACTCGGCTGCTGACCCGCAGGGCGCGGGTTCGAATCCCGGCTGCGGCGGCTGCATTTCCGATGGAGGCGGAAATGTTGTAGGCCCGTGTGCTCAGATTTGGGTGCACGTTAAAGAACCCCAGGTGGTCTAAATTTCCGGAGCCCTCCACTACGGCGTCTCTCATAATCATGTGGTGGTTTTGGGACGTTAAACCCCACATATCAATCAATCAGCACTCGGCTGTGCCTTCGAAGCGGTGGCCATTAGGCACAGCATTCGGAGTCATCGCGACCTCTGGTTGGTTGGCGCCGCTGTACGCGTGGTGACGTAGCGTGCGCGAGGCAAAATATCAAGCCCGGCTTGATCCCTCGCGCCTGCTCGCGTATGCCCCTCCGAAGCCGACGCCGAGAGGCGCATTTGACGCTTTTGACGCGTAGACGCGAGCATACGCGTGCCAGTGGTTGGCACTTTAGGCTAGCAGCGCAGAGGGCACTGCGCACAAGTCTCGATTATGCTATCGCGATCTGCTCTTGAAGATGAAGCTCGAGCGAGCTGCATTTTTTTTTTCCTGGCTTGCAGGGACACGTGGTTCTTCGCCATAATGAACTTCGTTTGGGGCATGCTGTCAAGCACGGCGTTCTTCTCTGCGCTGGGCAGCGAGTCCTTCACTCTCAACGTCACGCTTCCCGAGCTCGTATTGGACGAAAGTAAGGGCAGTAAAATGGATGGCATGCATTCGATCTCCCCCGTGTTTTGGGTGGCGTCGTAAACTATGTTCGTGCAAGATATGTGGGCATGTCCCGTCAGAGTCTTATTAACGCGTGGAATGGACGTTGCTTTGTTGCTTGGTACAACGGCTAACGTAATTATCCTTAAGCGGGTAAGATACGATTATTGCGTAAGGTTGAGCTTAAGCTACATCTGCTGTGAAAGATGTGATAAGCTTTGTTGAACCTTACAGTAATTCTGAACATCTTGCATGCGTCCGCGACTCTGGCAGAATAAGACAGTGGCACCCATGAAGCATGCGGTTTGCTCCATGATTCAGTCCTAATTTATTTTAAGCGCAAAGACCTTACCCAATAAAAAGAAGTAAGGTGAACATTTGCATAATGGAAAGACACTGAAAGGCGACAAATGTGTGGTGTTCCCCGTTATCCACGTTTCATAAGCAGGAGAACGCAAACCTTCATAGTTTTAAAGGTAATTATTAAATTTATTGCGTCAAAATTGTTATCATTATTGTTTTTAATTATACTTAGGCATCCAAGAATCGTGATAAGGGATAAGGGATAAGGGAAAATTTTCAGGCGTCTTGGATGACTGGTGGTCACTATGACTTAATATAAATGAAACTTCTAATCTGTGCCTACTTTTTTCACTCTGAAAGTGTTTTTTCAAATGCCCTTCTTGTCCAATAACTGCAGAACCCTCGTTAGCAAGGTTAACTTCTAAAACTTTCTTGTCTCACCTTACTTCTCAGTGCAAAGCTTGGCCTTCGTCTCCTACATTGAGGCGCTGAGCAACCTGGCATTCCCGCAGATGTGGAGCGTGCTGTACTTTCTCTGCATGTTCCTCCTGGGTCTCAACTCCTCGGTGAGAAGAGCTGAATAAGCTTCGCGGTTTTTTTTTTTTGAAATAGGAGTGAGATAAGCTAGGAGCTGCGCACTTAACCGGATGTCCGAGACCTCAGTCTGCAGGGAAGTTTTAATGATATTGCAGCTCACACTATGCAGGAGATGCGGGAAAAGTGTGCAGCTGGCCAGAAGGCCCGTTCGTCAACCCTTGATAGCAGCCAAGTGATTGCCTTCCGTTATTTAATGGGTTTGTAGCACGCGCTGTTGCTTTCCAGTGGGGAACAAAATTAACGAACCAACGCCGGAACATTAATGCTGGGATCGTCCCTTAGTAAGTCACATATCAGAGACGTACTTAGGTGTCAGTCGTACCGTTCGGAACGGCTTCTTGCGACGTTTTCATCACGCATAACGAACAAAGTTTCAGTAAGCGGTTACCCATAACACAGCTTCTGGTACAAATACGTCGGAAAGAACGCAAACAACAAAAATATGTAATGGCTCTCCTATCCAAGCCTATTTTTCCTCAGCATAGTCTCCTCAGAGGCTTTTGACTCTACCTGTCCTGACTGTGGTGAGGTTAGTGACTTAGCACACATGCTTTGGCAGTGCCCCTCGTTACGGGGCCCAAGTCGGCTCACAGAAGAAGATTGGGACTCTGCCTTACGAAGTTCAGAGTTGCTACCACAACTGCGGACCGTCCAGAGAGCCCACGACGCGGCGGTGAGGCTAGGCCTCCCCGTTCCTACGTGGGAGCAGCCCGCGACGTTACTCTAAAGGAGCAGCGTTTCTCAGCACCCAATAAAGTTCTCTCTCTCTGTCTGTCTGTCTGTCTGTCTGTCTGTCTGTCTGTCTGTCTGTCTGTCTGTCTGTCTGTCTGTCTGTCTGTCTGTCTGTCTGTCTGTCTGTCTGTCTGTCTGTCTGTCTGTCTGTCTGTCTGTCATGACTCTCTTTCTTTGTAAACACATAGTTGCAAACTGAAACTTCGGGAGAAGGGCTTGTTGGGTGAGCTAAATCAGCATTATTGTTGTATAAAGCTAAAAAAAAAAACAGGGACGAAGAAAGAATCACACGAACACAACGCAAACTATTAGTTAATTGGATATTGTTAATTGCGCTGTATTCATATGATTCTTTCTTCGTCCCCGTTTTTTTTTTGCGCTAAATTTTTCTACGTTGGAAAGCTGGATAATGGACGCGGTGTTTTGTGGTTGATTCGGCGAAAAGATGCCAGCCCTCGCTGCTATTATTGCTGCTCTGCCGTCACATGACGTGCCCTCAAGCGCAACTCGCACATGGACTGCCCTACACTCCCTGAATGGTTATTCATTCTGTGCGCATGCAACAACACCGCAGGTGTGCCTCATCCACACAGTGCTGATGTCCATCACCGAGCAATTTCCCGGCCTCAAGGAGTTTAGGGTCGAGCTCACGCTCCTCTTCTGCATCGGTGCCTTCTTGGCAGGGCTCCCTTTGTGCACGCCCGTAAGTTATACAGGTGCTCCTCGCGCGTCACTTATAAATGTGTCAAGAGAATCGAATGCTTTGAGCTAAGTATACCACATTTACATGGTTTTAGGTGGACTTATTACAAATAAATTTGAAGTCCAAAGTATAGGGGTTGACCTACAACCAAAACGGGAACAGTGGCAGTGCCATCCACACGAGAAATCAGGGATGCTGTGGCATGGTTACAACATAAGTTTGCGTTCCGGTTCTACTTGTAACAAAGATATGACGCATATTATTACGTATAACATGCACTCTGAGCAACGATTTGCAGACAGCTTTCTAAAATGATCTGTGCGTTTTGTTGCGAAGCTAGCTTGTTTATATGACTGTAGCACAATGTTGTGAAGCTTCTTTGGAGCACCAAAATCCTTTTTTTGGTCATGTGATTACAAAACTTTTTAGCTAGTTGGTGATACATTCCTACTTCACCGAGTACTACTTTTCAAGAGGACAAGGCAAAGTTTTAATGAAAAGAAAGTAATATTAGGAAATCCCCAAAAAACTGAAAGGATCAATTGTATCTATTCAGAACGATTATTCACAGTTGACACTTAAGAAACGGAAATGACTGTGGGACAGTGCTGCGACCGAAAATCGACAAGGAAAAAGAGTTTTCTTAGTGCATGATAAAGGTACATTTTATTGGGGTGAATTGCAAAACAGGCGAATAAAAGCAGGAGACCGTCAATCTTCCAAGCCACACTCGTGACCTATGCCAGCGTTATGTAACAAACAGGCTACTAAATATTAATACCCGAAGCATTGTGAATAAAACTGCAGCATTCGAAGTGCTTCTGCTGCAATATGATCCACATATTACGGTTGTTACCGAGACTTGGCTACACGAGCATTTTCCTGATGATGGCGTCTTCCCCCCTGTCCTACACTGTTTTCCGTAAAGGCAGACGCGCAAGGGAAGAGAGGTAGCTATATTGGTAAAACATTGTATCGATGCTGTTTTGTTGGATGGTGTTGTTGACGTAGAATTTTTATGTATTACGTATACATGCTGGGTTCATAGTCTTGTTGTAATTGGGTTGTACAGACCCCAAGGCGTTACTCCAGAATAACATAGCACACTGAAAAATTATATGGCCAAATCTGAAAGTAAAAGGAGCCTACTAAATCACGACTTGCACCTACCAGGAGTATGCTCCATGGGAGTGCCTTGACGCCTGGCATGAACACTTCAAAACATGTTAGCATAGTGTTTGACACTATGCTTATACATGACCTATTGCAAATAGTTCACGTACCCACACGGTTACAGGGGGATTCCGCCTCGTTATTAGATGTTGCGTTTCTGAACCGTAATTTCTCTGAACATACAGTAGAAGTAGGTCAAGGTCTTTCTGATCATAACTATGTCTTCGCTTCCTTTCGTCTGGCTCTAGTAACTTTCCTCTGGCTCCAGTAACGGGAACCATTTGTGAACGGAACTGCCTTACATGTGATGAATGAATTGCCTTACCAGACAACCTTCTTCGCCCTTTATTGTTTCAGTTCTACAATTGATATTTCGTTTATATGTGTATTTTATTTTATTTGTATCTGTATTAACCACCCTGCTTTGACCTTGAGTCTGCAGTATTGAATAAACAGATAAATAAATGAAATAAAATAAGTGCGTTACAGGAAGGGCTCTGAGCTCATCTATTAAGCGCGGCAGCATGTAGTTAGTCCGTGGACTACGCAAATAAAGTTTCTCTATGTAATACACTTAACCATTTTTACGCCCTGCTCTTCGAAGGGTCGACCTCTATTCGAGTCGACTTACAGTGGTGTAAATACGGCAACATTCACCCGAAAGGGTGGAGTGCTGGTAGAGATAACAATGCATTGCTAACAGTGTTGCAAGGTATACACATCCGCTGGCTTCCCAACAAATAGATTGAACTGACGAGGTGCACTCACGCACGCATAGCCAAAAGTAGACGCATAGCAGTCGATGGCAGCGAACACAGTATCTCGCGAAGCTGGCTTAACCAATAGTATAAACCGAAGTGAGGAAACGCATCTCACTGTCGCCGGCCGCAAAGACGGCGCAAACGAAGGGATCACCCATCTCGTTTTGCTAAGTGTATGCCTCGCAGTGCTACAAGTATTCACTCCGATGGACTTTCTTTCTCAAGCAGCGAAGTGGTGTCATCGCCCATTCTGTTGTTTCTGTATACGAAATATTCACGGCTTCTTTTGAAATGTTTAGTCCCTAACAGTGTCCGTTTCTCGCGCCGTCAGAATTATGACACCTAGTTGTGCATTTAAACTTTTCCGTCGCCCTTGGCACTCTGAGCAGCGCAGCTTGTCTTTTTACAGACCGGACCTTTCTTCATGAAGATCCTGGAGACACACTTGGGTGGCTCGTTCCTGGTGGTCATCGCGTTCGTTGAGGTCATCTGTTACTCGTGGGGCTATAGTAAGTCGGACACGTTCACGCTTGCATTTAGGGCACCATGTGCGAAATACTGTTCCCTCTTTTCTTTACGGCACCAAAAAGTTTTATCCCAGCCATGTGAAACTTAAGGGGCAGCAAAGGTAGTAGATGTTAGGGGCTGAACGTGGCCTGCTCGGCTTATGTTTTTCTTGGCGTAGACAAAAGAAAGTCGAACCGCAGCCTGTCAAAGACAATGCAAAATGGTCCGAACGCCATCGCCAGAACAAGCGAGCAAATCTGGTTGTGGCAGCCCCGATGAAAGAGCGGGCCTTTCGTTGTTCGTGCTCGGCTCGTGCTACGGGCAGGAATGGCGCTGTGTAGATCAAAAAGTAGTGAGACCTCAAACTAAAAAGAGCCAAACCAACCAAACTATTTACTATAAACGCCTAATTTCTAAGAAAATAGTGTAACAGTAGTGTTACAAAAATGGTTACTATTGAACAATCAACATTATCAGTTTGATACTGCAATAAAATAGAAGGAAGAGCAGGATTCTTTTCTCCGCTTGCGTGTTTTTTAAAAGCCACAAGCAAGCCGTAGCATTAACCGTAGAAGCAGGTCGTGTTTGAGGACGCGGAGTGGAAATGATTTGCAGTTAACCACATTGCTAGGCCAGTTTCAATCAGTGCTCGAAGATGACCAGTACAGCTTCATTCGATTACAGATATCTCTTTCTGAAAAGTTCGCTCTAGAACACGCGTTGAGCAACAGTGCTAGGAAGCGACTCGTAACACTAGCATTGATGGCAAGCAGTGCCAAAGCGCGCTAGAAAAAAGGCGCACTTATATTGCATCTTTAATTCGCGAATGTACTGTGTCTCCAGTTTTACTTTTTTGCCATTTATAAAAAGCAACAAAGTTCAGCCAATATTTGTGTTATTTGTGGCAGGTGCGCCGCGCATTGCTTTGAGGTGTCTCTAAGAGCACCGGGAGGAAGGCGTGCGTATGCCTCACAATGAGCATAGGTTGGGGAACTTACTCGTGAGTTGACTCACTTGGACTCGCTCACATTCAAATGAAGCCCTGATTCTGAAGTCCGGATTAGTATAATGTTGGTGAGTTTGAGTCTGAGTGAGTTCTCAGCGCAAAATATATTTCATGAGTGAGACTGAGTAAGCTCCACAAGTTTTGCCGCCTTGTGGCCAGGAGGCACACCACGGTCAGAAAACGCTCGAAGCGAATCGGGGGCGTTAGGCTCGCTCGGTATTTTATCTTCAAGTAGTAAGGAAATGGCTAAAAAATGTGCCAAAATAGTGATTCAATATAGCCAGAATGTAGCCTTGGCGTGAACCTGAAATTTTTGTCGCCATCGGGGCCGCAAAGTAGCCACCAACGGCAATCCTGGCTACGGGCAAATTTGGCCCGGCGGTGGTGCGGACTTTTTTCATCGGTGGGCACGTGTGATGAACTATGGCACGGATGAGCAACGGCGTGGATGTAATTCCTCGTACACTCGTCGTTTTGTCTCAAGCTTGAAGAGCTGAACTGTTAAAACAATATAAAACACTTGCTGTACCCCCGAACTTCACCATCAGATGTAAAACGTGGTAGCATAAGCGAGCCCCATTCGCATCACGTTACCAGCCTAGCTTCGCCTATACCAGTGGGCGAAGGAAAGGAATGTCTCTGCGCGTAAGAATGGCCCTTTAAAATTATTCCAGATTGGCTGGTGCAACTACGATTGCGTAGTCCTCACTGCGTCGTTATTCATTTTGCAAATCAGCAAAGGGCTCGCTGTGCGTCCGTAGGGAATACGTGAACCTAGACAATTTGCTGATGATGTTGCTGATGTATGCGGATCATCAAACGTACTGATGAGAAATAAAATTATTATTATTATTATTATTATTATTATTATTATTATTATTATTATTATTATTATTATTCCTCAGCACCTTGTAAATGGTGGGCCTTAATCTGCGTACTCCTTGCGAAATTCACATTTTGACATCTAGAGCTAATTTATACATCTGCCACGCAATATTACACGAGTTAATGAAGACTTCCAGCACATCAAAACATTCGTATAGTTTTTTTTTTAATCGCAAGCTTGCACGTGGCTGCGTGTTAGGACACCTTCTTGCCACGCAGAAAACAAGGTTTCGATTCGCACTCGGCCAAGAGAAGCTTTTCATTTATTTGCATCTATCTCGAATTCTTGCTCATACACAACGCTGATTTCTCGCTCAAAACCAACACGGCTGACGCCAACACTGAGAACACACCTACTTCCTTGGAAACTAGCTCTTTAACGCCATCGCATTATTAGGCGTATCAAAGCGAACTCATTTTCGTGAAAGTGTGACATTATTCACGTGGCTGACATCGGGTGTTGCTCTAAAGGACAACTGAGGTTACGCTTACGCTCGATGGCTACCAGCCCGAAACTTGAGTACTAATATCGAAGTACACGTTCGTAAGCACATACTGGTAGAGTGAAAAATACTTTCAATCATTTAATCAATACTTCTTGTACCGAACAGCTAGAAATTACGAATATCGCCGACACGGGAGGCAATTTCAGAAGTTGACAAAGTGGATATCTCAAATTTTAAATAAAGAAGCATTTTTCGAAAATATTTGTTATATCTGCCGGGGTAGCGTAGACAGTGAGCTGCGCACTGCTTTAGGCTGAAGGAGCCATAATAGACTTCAGATTCTTGATCAGGACGATGTCAGGAAGCTCAGGATCTCCTATTGTCCTGACCGCTGGTAATGCCTTCAGATTGCGTGAACAGTGAATAAAAATAAATATAAAATAAATATAAAATAAGATAACGGGGGCTCCACGAGTAATTTACATAAATTACTTGACCATTCGTAAGCGCCCCATTATGGCGTCTCTAAATATGGTGTCACTCGCAACTTCATGATGGTTTTACAAGTCTAACACCTGTAAGTTGTTGCTGTTCCTTTTGGTAGTTGTCATTAGGTAATAATAAGGGGTTTTACGTCTCAAACACCCATGTGAATACGAGTGAGACAATAGTGGAGGGCCCTGGAAAGTTCGACCATGTGGTGTTTCCTCAACTGCACTGACGTGGCGCAGTACACGGGACTCTCGCATTTCGCCTTTATCGAAATGCGACCACCCCGACCGGGATCGAACCCGCCACCTTTGGGACAGCAGCCGAGCACCCTGGCCACTGCTCCACCGCGGCAGACAGTCCGTAGTGAATGCATCTTTATCGGGGACAAAAATGACCACGCTTTCACGCTGGCTCACTTAGTCACATCATGTGTGTCCTAGCTGTTCCTTTTTTCGCGATCGCGTTTGTTGTTCCATGCGTTATCGTTTTTTTATATAGTGTAGAAAATCGGGCTGCTTGTTTGTCGGTGGACTGAACACTCTTCGCCTGACGAAGAAGAGACAGCATAGTACTCCAGAAAAGAATGCGTACATGGTCAGACCATCAATTGCTGGTGGCGTTAAAAGCTTCATCATTAGCGTCATGTTTACCGCTAGTAAGATAAATCAGCAGCATTAAAGGCCTAATGTTTTTAGAGTATCTTACCAAATACTCTTGTTTCAGCGGCAAGACGGCTGCTGTTCGACATCGAGTTCATGTACACGGTGCAATCGTCCATTGTGTACAAAGTGCTCTGGAGCTTCTTGGTTCCACTCATGCTCCTGGTAAGAATGGAGCCTTTAATATGCTCAATGTCCTACATGAATGACGCGGAGATCTTTCATCAACACGAATGTTTTTTCTGTGAAAAACGTAGTGCTACATAAGGTGTGCTTATGATGCCCTGTCCTTGTCACCTGGAAGTCTAGGTGATCGCTGGGTTATAATTAGCTGCATGTTTGCAGTCACAAAATGGCTATTTCGCGTGCGTGTAGCTGAGCGCCACACCGCGAAAGAAAAAGGATATAAGTAACATACAGTTAACTTGTTCTTGACGCTGCTGATATTTTTGTCAATTGTTCTTCAGTTATCGGGTGCGCAGTAACTTTCGTACGACAGTGATAGGCGCTAATGTTTTTTTGTTCGCGGTGTATGAATCATTGGTGCCCTACATATAGGACGGCTCCAAAACTATTGTTTGAAAGAGGTTCATTAAAAAAAAATAAAAGTACTATTCGGTTTTCTGAGGTCGTAGAAGCAATATCATTTTGTGGAAATAAATTAGCTTTGTTAATTTTCTTAAGTTCGGGCATATCTGGGTTAAGCAAGGGGCTTCGCTATATTTGCTCATTCTGTTATTGCCGTGCACGAGCTTGTGTTATTATGACGTGGGCGACGAATGCGCCACATAAAAACGAGCAATACGAGTTCTCTACTTGTCCGCGTGTTATCTTCGTTTGTCGCAAACATTAGGGATACGGACACGCGAGTTCCAGCCTACATGGCGTCTTCTAGTAACGTAAGAAAGTCATGCGAACTTACAAGTACTTTTGGTTCAAGAATACTGTTCCCTTTCAGAGTAATTCGTGAAGGTTCAGTATAGCGCTGTCGCAAAATTTCTCGGAGAACGCCTTTGACGCAAGCAATGATAGGAATAAATGGTGGTTCTAGGAAGTCCCTACTGCAGTTCTTCCTGCTATCTAATTCGTTGGCAAAACCAGTGAGAAAAAAAAAAACATGGCTCTCACGGCAACGACTGAAGTGCGTAAATGTTGCTGTTTGCCGTGTCATCGGATACCGAGTTGCTATAGCTACTGGTCTTCAACACTACTAGTTGAGCATAGTTAGTAGAAGACGCGGACATAAAGTCACTGGTGAAGATGACAGCAAGGCGTTATTGTACTTCACGCAGTGTAGAATTGGTTTATTGATCGAAAGACGGCCAAAACACATTCTTTGCTTCCACGGCAAACTAAGTAAAAGGTGAGGGGAAGAGTGCCCAAGAGACATTGTATGTGTTCATAAAAAGCGCCTACGGGGTAAAAAGTTGGAGACTTACAAAAAGTGTTCAACATTTATGGCGGCATATTACAAGAAGCAGCGCTACATGACAAGAACACAAAAAGGGAAAACACAAACGTAGTGCTAACACTCAAGCAAAAATTTACTATCACACTTGTTATTCATACAAAACGATGAATGGCTAACAAAGCAAAGTAAACAAAAGGATATTCTGCTCGACTCGCATGAGACATCTCCACAATTAGGACGTGCCATGTCATTTCAAAGGGAGGAATACACAAAGCTATCGTTTTTTGTGGGACCATGCGAAAAAATTCACGCCCACAGATTTACCTGTCATGTTGTTTGGTCCATGTGCTTCTATAATTTCGCGAGTCGTTCTGCTGTGAGCCTTATTTAGGATGCGCATATTTTCAAAGTGTAGGACGCAGCCACACTTCTGGTAATGAATCCCAAGATAGCCTGACAGAGCTTTTTCAAAGACGACAGTCTTTCTTGAAGACCTTGGACGAAAAAATTTTGGTCTGTCTGTCTGTGTGTACATTTGTCTGTTTGTCCACCCTTAACGATACCTCAAACGGTTGACCCCATCCGCAGCGCCCACTAGTATTGCTCAAAGTTCAGCGTTCATACTTGTGCGATTATCAATTAAAAAGCAATCATTCCGCATATCTGAGGTACCTTAACAACACTTCGATGTTTTGTATGTGTGCCTTTACACTCGAGATGGCACACACAAGTGATTCCAAGGACCGTAGTGTTAAACACGCTGCGCTGACAGTGCAACGTGGTGCTCAAAAAGGGAAGTGTTACCAACGCTTTGCTGAAACGACACGGTGGTGGCACCTACCCGTCGCTTTGCGTTCTACACCTTATCGCCTCCGAGGATGGCACGCAACTTTCTCCGCAGGCGCGCATGCCTTCTTGCGTTTTCGAAGGTAACTGCCACATGGCGCTCGCGTCGAACGTGCCTCGATGCGCTCGTTAGCCTCCGCTGCACGCTCGAGGCACTCGTATGCAGCGCCTCTGGAGTACCTTTCACCGATTTTATTGCGCAGAACATCAAATAAATGTTTTGTTCACTCTCTCAAGGCGCAAGACTATCGTCTTTGGGCGGTATTTGCAATGTACCATGCAGATCTGGGGCCATTTTTTTTTCACATTGTTTGCCCCTTTGTGGTTTATATATTGGTCGTGTTGGGTTATATATGCGCGCTCACACGACAGTGGCACAGGACACACAAACCCTCATTACAATTAAGAAACAATTGACGGTGCTTCATGAGTATGGCTGCGTGAATAATTGATTTCATAGTCCACTCAAATACTAGTCGAATAATACTCGAATATTTTTCGCATAGCACGGCAACCATTTCCAAAGGAGCCCTAAAAAGTTACTCTAAGAATTTTGGAAACCACCGAAGAGTACCATAACGTTTATTTTAAAAAATATTTACTACCCTTGACCTAGGACGATTAAGTTTAAACCCCTACCCTTCTACCCTGCCACTCGGGAAAAAAAAGCCACACTCCTATACAACACTAACTAGTGCATTAAAAATGTTTTGGAATGGCCGGTTGAAAAATACAGAAGTGAATAGCATTCAAGGCCGAAGCTCAGGGTAAGATGGAAGCTCGAAGAGGTGAAAAATTTGTGATTACTGATTCTCGATAAAGCCGATGTTTTGACAAGCGGAATTGTCTGTACTTGGTGAAACGTAGGCTTCAGCTGCCCCCCGTGTTCACGAATTTTTCTATCTGTTGTGTTGATAAGGGCATTTTGTCAGCGTTCTCTTTTAAGAAAAATGATACACAAATATGAAATATTGTGTCAAGATGAAATTTGTGGGTTGAAGAATCTGTCGTTTCAGCGACAATGGAGCTTTCAGCAAAATGTCTTCATATTGTGACCAATATAATGTCCATAGCCCCGTAAAACCTTGGGCAGCGTGCATTGTGATTTTCGATGAATGAGGCAAGAAACGTTGCTCCTCTCTTTTCCAACGTTTTTTTCCTTCGAGGATTTTTTTTTTGAAATTTTATTCGACAAATATTTGGTGTGTCTAATATACCCTGTAGGGCATCTTGAACTGGAAAATCGGGTTGCCACACAAGACGCAGGCATGTGAAAGCTTCTGCTTCAGGTGGAGGGGGCGTGTTTTCATTTCAGTGCACTGTCGCCTTTAATTCCAACCCTTTACCACTGAAGTCATTACGATCAGGAACGAGGTATGAGAAGAGGGGGAGTAGGTGGCACTTCACCCTTGTATCTTTTCGATAACCCCACTCTTTTTCTTTATTTTATTACTAGGCAGGAGAGTTGAATTCAGTGCTTACTCAGCAGAAACGCATTGCATGCCCTTTTAAATGTCTAAATTTCATCTACTGTACACAAAAAGTGAAGGGGTTCAGTTCATGTGCAGCTTGAATCTTCTCTTCTTCATGCGACGGTTTCTTTCTAGCGTAGGTGACATGAATCATGTAACGTTCGTGGCTTAGATTTTAACGCTGAAACTTATCGCAGGCTGTTACGCTGCATGGTCAGTTTCTCTAGAAAGGATTCTCGTGTCGTTCTATGCAGTTATGCTACCTGTCGGGACTGTTTAGCACGTCACCCGTGGTGCTCAGAGGATACACGTTCCCTTTGTACGTGGACATCGGGGGCTATTTGCTGCTGCTGTTCATCTTCTGCCAGATCCCACTCTACGGCCTCAGCTGGTTCAAACAGCGGGGATACGTGAGTGCTGTTCATGCGCTTGTGTTAGCAGTGCCATGGTGGAGCTCAATTGCTCTCTCTCTCTCTCGAAACCAAGGAAGGAGGAGCAGATAGAAGGGTTCATTTTTGTTGTTGTCTGGCACAATAATAATGAGATCTCACAGACAATGATGCCAACGAAAGTATCGGGGATGTCATTAAAGGAAGTTTAATGTATATGCAAAGAAAAAAATGTGGAAAGATAACTTGTCGCCGGGAGGGACCGAAGCTGCAACCTTCAAACAACGCGTCTCGTGCTCTACCACTCAGCTACGGTGGTGGTCATCCCCGTGGTCCATTCTTTAGTGTATCTACATTTAAACGTGGGAGAGTCCGTCAGCGCCCCCTGCAGTCATTAGAAAACCAACAACAGCAATTAACGTCAAAGTGGAAGTTGGAATCGGAAGTGTTGGGACGGCAGTTAGGAATCTCACGGGTATAACGCGATTCGAATGGATTTTGGCGTTATGGGAGAGAAATGAAGTGACGCAGCGGAAGTCTGAAGAGTAGAACAAACAGCAAAGTGTAGGTGCCGCCAACGTGGAATTCTTTCGCACCTTCAGCTGAATGTTCCCAGAATCTTCGATTTTCTTTATGCGATTAGCACTACGAATTCAATAGTAAGAACTTCTAAAGTATAACAGTCGAAGCTATTGAGAATGTGAAGGTGGTTTTAACGGCGGAGCTTTTCGCTGCACCGGGTAGTCCGAACAGAAATTATAAATATGAACCGGCTGGAGCTCTCTTCGTATTCTACATCTACTGCTTAACTGCCTGAACAGGATATATATATATATATATAAATATATATATATATATATATATATATATATATATATATATATATATATATATATATATATATATATATAAATATATAAATATATATATATATATATATAAATATATATATATATATATATATATATATATATATATATATATATATATATATATATATATATATATATATATATATATATATATATATATATATATATTAAAATAGAGGTGTTGTACGTCGAGAAAGGTTCAGACGCAGCTTGGCAAAATGAGCTTTAACAGGCAGGTCTGGCTAATGGCGAACGGCGTGCGCGAGCTACTACTGCAGCCACCGATCATCGTCGTCTTCTTCATTGCCAGCAGAGCGTCCGTTATTCAGATTCATTAATTCATTACAATTACTCCCCGCGAAATAAGGAGCCATCCTGGCGACCTATGGACAAGTAAACACGGGAGGGTCGTAGCAGGGCTTAAGTCTCGAGACGTGGACAATTTCCTGGCCACGGCGACGTTGGTCAGAAGATGGTTCCAGTGGCTCGATGAGATAATTCACCGGTGACGTTTTTTGTAGCACACGATACGGGCCGTGATACTTGGGGACCAACTTGGTAGAAAGGCCAGGTGTAGCCGAAGGGACATGCAGCCAGACGAGTGAACCTGGATCGTAGGAAGTAGTGTTATTTGATGCGTCATGGTGGTGTTTTTGGCGTCCTTGGTCTTGAGTTGTGAATGATCTTGCCAGTTGGCGGCATTCTTCAGCGTATGTAGCGGCTTGAGACAAAGTCGTGGACTCTGAGGAGTCAGGTTTGTACGAAAGGATGGTGTCCTTAGTGCAAGAAGGTTCGCGTCCGTAAAGGAGGAAAAAAGGAGAGAACCCAGTAGTGCTTTGGATGGCGGTATTATAAGCGAACGTGATAAACGGGAGCACTCGGTCCCAATTGGAGGGGTCTGACGAGATATACATAGACAGCATGTCACCAAGGGTGCGGTTGAAGCGCTCTGTCATTCCATTGGTCTGGGGATGATAGGCGCTTGTAGTGCGGTGAACGACGTGGCACTCACGCAGCAATGCTGTGATGACGTCTGACAAGAATACGCGACCACGATCACTCAGTAACTCCCGAGGTGCTCCATGCCGTAATACGATGTTGTGAAGAACGAAAGTCGCAACGTCCTTTGCTGTAGACGAGGGAAGGGATGAAGTTTCGGCATACCGCGTGAGATGGTCGACGGCAACTATGATCCAGCGGTTACCGTCAGCGGTGTTGGGAAGGGGACCGTAGATATCGATGCCGACGTGGTCGAATGGTCGGGACGGGCATGGTAAGGGTAGCAAGGTACCGCTGGCGTGACAAGGGGGAGTTTTTCGTCTCTGGCACGTCGAGCAGGCCCGAACGTATTGTCGTATAAAACGGTACATGCCACGCCAGTAATATCGGAGACGTATGCGAGAATAAGTCTTCAAGAAACCTGCGTGGCCACATTGGGGGTCGTCATGAAACGTGGAACAAATTTCGGATCGCAGATGACGTGGAATCACGAGTAGCCACTGACGTCCACCGGGTGCGTAGTTGCGTCGGTACAGCACGTCGTCGCGAGTGGCGAAGTGCTCGACTTGCCGACGCAATGTGCGAGAAGGGGGGGAAGCCGTGTGCCCAGTCAGGATGTCTAGAATCGAAGCAACCCAAGGGTCCTTGCGTTGCTCAGATGGCATCTCGGCGATGGTGACGGCAGCGGCATCACAGGTTAGACTTTCGCAGCAGTCCGGGTCAGGGGGTAGCGGCGAACGGGATAGGGCGTCTGCGTCCGAATGTTTCCGGCCGGAGCGATAGACCACGCGAATATTATATTCTTGGAGGCGTAATGCCCATCGGGCGAGGCGACCACTTGGATCCTTCAGTGACGACAACCAGCAGAGGGCGTGGTGGTCAGTCACGACGTCAAAAGGGCGCCCGTACACGTAAGGTTGAAATTTCTTTATCGCCCAAATAATGGCGAGACATTCCTTTTCAGTGACTGAATAGTTGGTTTCGGGTTTGCTAAGAGTTCGGCTTGCGTAGGCAACCACGTACTCTTGGAAGCCGTCTTTCTTCTGTGCAAGAATAGCGCCTAGCCCGACACCACTAGCGTCGGTGTGGATCTCTGTGGGTGCCGATATGGGTCGTAGTGTCGCAGAATAGGCGGCGACGTGAGGAGGCGGCGCAGTTCATATGAAAGAATCGTCACAGGTGGCAGACCAGGCGGAAAGGTCTCTAGAGCCGGCGAGGAGCTTGGTCAAAGGAGCGATGATCGTCGCGAAATTGCGGACGAAGCGCCGGAAGGAAGAGCAAAGGCCTATGAAGCTTCGGAGCTCTTTCATGGTGGTCGGTTTGGGAAACGCTGAAACGGCTGTAAGTTTGGCAGGGTCAGGAAGAATGCCGTCTTTTGAAATCACGTGGCCAAGGATCGTAAGCTTTCGAGCAGCGAAATGGCACTTCTTCAGATTCAGTTGCAGCCCCGCGGCAGAAATACACGCGAGGACTTTCTCGAGGCGGGTTAAATGGGTTGCGAAATCGGTTGAAAAGACGACAATGTCATCTAAATAACAAAGGCAAACGTTCCATTTGAGGCCTCGAAGGATAGAGTCCATCATCCGCTCGAAAGTAGCTGGTGCGTTGCAGAGGCCGAAGGGCATGACTGTGAATTCGTAAAGCCCGTCGGGCGTGATGAAAGCAGTTTTTTCACGATCGGCCTCTGCCATGGGTACCTGCCAGTATCCAGAGCGCAGATCTAAAGAAGAGAAAAATTCGGCTCCCTGTAGGCAGTCCAAGGCATCGTCAATGCGTGGCAGCGGATAGACATCCTTGCGCGTGATTCGGTTGAGACGCCGGTAGTCCACGCAAAACCTGATGAATCCGTCCTTCTTCTTCACCAACACAGCTGGAGAGGCCCAGGGACTGCTTGACGGTTCGATTATGCCACGTGTCAGCATGTCGTCAACCTGTTCATTGATGGCACGGCGTTCGGTAGTCGACACACGATATGGACGCTGCCGTATTGGCGTCTCTTGACCGGTATCTATACGGTGAACGACAGATGACGCGCGACCTAAGGAAGGCTGATTGTCGTCAAACGAGGCTCGAAAACGCTGTAGGAGCTTGATCAGCTGTTCCTGCTGCCCAGGGGTGAAGTTACAATCAATGGACTTGCGGAATACATCTATAGGTTCATTAGCGTCCGTTGCGGGTGTAATGGCACAAGTCGGTAAAAATGGCTTGTCTGAATAGATCGGGTCTTCGAAAATACAATTTAAGGTCTCGAGGCTTCCCAGACACTCGCCGCGTAGCAGGATGTACGGACATGCAGAAACGTTGCACGCATAAAGTACCGCCGAACCATTGGAAAAGTTGATGACGGCAAACGGGAGGACGATGGTTCGGTGTTGCACACTAGCTATAGTTGGCTGGAACAGGAGCGTCGAGTTAGTGGCAGCAGGGGAAAACACAGGCACTAGGACGGCGGACAACGGCGCGATGCGGACGTCAGCTGCGGCAAACACTTTGGAGGGACTGTGGTGGTCGATATCAAGGCACGGATTCGTCAACGTGAGTTCAGCACGAGCGCAGTCGACGAGGGCCTGATGGGTAGAAAGGAAATCCCATCCTAGTATGACGTCGTAAGATGAACGTGGGAGAACAACAAAGTTGACGGCGTACCAAACATCTTGAATAAAAACGCGTGCTGTGCACTGAGCTGTCGGCGCGATAAAATGGGAGGTGGCTGTACGCAGAGCAAGATTCGTAAGCGGCGTTGTAACTTTTCTCAAATCGCGACACAGTTTTTCACTAATTACAGAAACGACGGCGCCTGTGTCAACAAGTGCACGTACAGCAACACCTTCTACTAGCACATCAATTTCGTTGGTCAGACAAAGAGGAGGTCTTAGAAAGTTCGACGATGACGCAGTTCTTGCCTCTGGAACTGCGGCTGTCAGTTTTCCTCTCGAGCGGGGCTCGTGCGCCGAAGCATCGGGGAGACCGATCGGCGACGGGGCGGTAATGACCGGCGAGAATCGACAGGGCGTCGTGGGGACAATGAGTCGGTGATAGGAGAAGATGGTCGCCGGGGATTCTGGGCAGCCTGGTAATTTGCAGAATTCCCGTGGTCTGGAGGCTGGAAGTTACGACGGCGACAGTAGCGTGCTATATGTCCCACGAAACCGCATGCGAAACATATGGGCCGATTATCCAAGGTGCGCCATGGGTTAACGACAGAAGGTGCAGGGGGCGAAACGGGATGGGGTGCCGTGTATGTAGGCAGCGTCGTCGGGTAGGAGGACCCGGTGCCCCTGTATGCGCCAGAGACAGGTGGGGCTGGGGGTCTAGCAACGACGGCAGCGTAGGTCAGCGGCGTAGGGACAGATGGCGATGGAGGCAGTGCCTGCGTGACCTGTGTCTCAATGACCTCGCTTAGACGTGGGTCTAACGATGTCACTGGCGCGGATGCTTCGGCCACAAGAGAAAGCTGACGCGCAACTTCTTCACGAATGAATTGTTTTATGTGGGGCAGTAAGACGGTGTGATCAGCAGCGACATCGTGCTTGAGGGCGGAAACTTCAGCCGTATCTTCAGCGGCCCTGTGCGTCGAGACGCGCTGCTTACGCAACTCGTCGTACTCCTGACAGAGGTGGACAACATCGGTGATGGTCTGTGGATTCCTAGCGACGAGCATCTGGAAGGTATCGTCAACTCCTTTGATGATTTGCTTGATTTTGTCGCGTTCGGTTAGAGATTCATCGACGCGCTTGCAAAGAGACAAGACATCTTCAATGTAACTTGTAAAGGTCTCGTTCTGCGCTGGATTCGACTACGGAGACGCTGTTCCGCGCGAAGCCGGTGCACAGCGGGACGACCGAAGACCGCGGCGATGGTGGTCTTGAAGGCGGACCAGTTGGTGATTTCGCCTTCGTGGTTCTTGAACCAGAGGCTGGCCACATCATCGAGGTAAAAGCGCACGTTTGTGAGCTGGTCGCAGTCGTTCCACTTGTTGGAAGCGCTTACGATTTCGTACTCGACGAGCCAGTCCTCGACGTCTTGTTCGTCGTTGCCGCGAAAAATTGGTGGGTCGCGTTGCCGAGGCACGCCAGTACAGTAGACTGTCGTTGGTAAGGCAGCTTGAGAAGGGCCAGGAGCAGTCATGGTGAATGGTGAGGGTAGCGTCCGATTGCGAAGTTCCAGGTTGATGGGAACCCCGGCTCCTCCACCACTTAAAATAGAGGTGTTGTACGTCTAGAAAGGTTCAGACGCAGCTGGGCAAAATGAGCTTTAACAGGCAGGTTTGGCTAATGGCGAACGGCGTGCGCGAGCTACTACTGCAGCCACCGATCATCGTCGTCTTCTTCATTGCCAGCAGAGCGTCCGTTATTCAGATTCATTAATTCATTACAGTATATATATATATATATATATATATATATATATATATATATATATATATATATATATATATAGAACACGTTCACGATGAACAAGGTATGCATAAGGCTCTATCGATTGCGTCGAATTTCTAGAGTTTCAAGGTTCGTGCCCTGTAGTAAAGCACTAACAGGTGTGTGATGACGATAACAATTGAAAATGACTCTGATTTTTTGCTGTATGTTCTCGATTTCAGTTGTGGTTGGCTGGGTGTAAGGACCGCTGGCATGAGCGCCATATTAGAACAATGGTCTATTGAGTGTCTTGTACGCCAACAATTTTATATTACTCATACGTTCAGACAAGGTTCTACTCAGATATCCAAACTTTTTCATGACCTTTCTTCAATGTAAGCTACATGGCAATTTCATCTAAGGTCTGACCTGATCACTAATCTAAGGTACACATATTCAGTCACAAACGATAAGCTAAGCTATGACCGCTAATGTTGTATAGAAAAGGTGATCACTTCTTTTTGCCTGTTACGAATCTTATGACCATCGGTACTGTGTTCAATAGGTTGAGGTTTTACTTGCCATTCCACGCCGCATGTAGGTATAACGAATAAAGATGAATTCAGCAGAGGCTTGCCTGCCTCACTGCGAATTTCTCGGTAGAGTATGATGTCATCTGGAAACAGCTGAATGTTAACTTGTACGTTTTTTACTATGTCAATAGTAGACAGTAAAAAAAAAAACAGAGGACCCGGAATTGATCCTTGTGGTATTCCGACTTCACATCAGATGAGACAGAGTTGACGATATGATTGGTATGGTGGTTTTACGTCCCATAACCATCATATGATTATGAGAGGCGCCGTAGTGGAGGGCTCCGAAACTGTTGATCACCTGGGGTCCTTTAGAGTGCACCCAAATCTGAGCACACGGGCCTACATCATGTTCGCCTGTATCGAAAATGCAGCCGCCGCAGCCGGGATATGTACCCGCGACCTGCGTGTCGGCAGCCAAGTTAGCCACTGGACCGCTGCGGCGGTGCACATGAGTGATTCAGCGTCGTCAACAACGGCTGTCTGCCGCCTATCTTTCAGATACGCCTCCCCATTGAAGTAGCAGATAATTTTATAAAACAGGGTTTAGTTTTAATAACAAATTTTGATGGGTTCTATCTAACCTTGGCTGTCCTGTACTCCCGAAATTTCGCGCGCAGTTTCCAATGGTTGCGTCACAGTCGATATTCTGCTGCGGAAGCCTTGTTGTCGGGCATCACATAGGCCATTTTTTTCAATAAAGACTAAAAATGTGCTTAAATATACTGCTTCATGAGTTTTGATGAGGTGCAAAGTAAGGAAATAGGACAGTAAGAGGCAAGCAGTGAGTGGTCTGATGATTTAGGGATAGGCATAATTTTCGCATGCTTTCAGTCATTAAGTATTTCTGCACATGAAAGTGAGTTACTGAAGATAATGCAAATATATTTAGCGCACCATTCGTTGTATGTGAAGAGGAAGGCATTTGGTATTTCATCAACACCCTGCATTTTTTACGTCAATGTCTAGAGGCACGAACAACACTCCCGCTTCATTCATGTCGAGAGGACTTATGGATGGAATCTCATTTAGAACAGGTATGGGTGGTGTCTCGCCATCATCATTCGTGAATACGGAGTGGAAGTGCTCATTGAAAGCATTAGCAATTAAAAGTTTTTCAGTTAGTATGAGGCCATCAACACAATTATCAGACACGTGGGTCAAAAATATAGAGAAACAGACAGAGAAAGAGAGAAAGAAAGCACGCATATATATAGCCCAGAGTTTCCTCAATATACACTAGAGAGAACTCTGGCACTAGTGCCAATGGGAGCTACAACGCACGGCATTTGAGCGAGCATGGGAATAATTGGTAGCACACAGATTTCTTACTTTTGGCTCCATTTGGGTTCACTTGAATTGGAGCTGTTTTGTCACAAAACAAAAATCACCAAAGGTTTAGCACTTGCGTTTCCACACCTCAATATTTCATGCTTACCATTGGAAATCGGACCATGAAGTTCAAAACGTTTTTTTTTTGAAAGAAAAACCAAAACACAGCTGTAAACGAAGCCAGAAGTGCAATCGAGGCCTGTAAGTACGACGACTAAGCAAATCCGTGTACTACCCATTATTCCCGTGCTCGCTGAACGATCGCAGCGCCAGAGTCTCCTCTAGTTAGTTTTAGGAAACTCTGTGTAGCATAGTATAGCAAGCAGGTCAGGAAGCGAAGATGAGGAGTAGGGCGAAGACACAGAAGAGGACGAAGGATAAGATAGCCTTACGTGGTATAGTATGCGAATAGGTCTGCAAGAAAAGTGTTGAGAAGGAACAGCGAAAGGAGAACCAGAAAGGGGGAAGCATAGCATTCACATATACAGTATATTATGGCAAGGGGTGAGAAAGAGAGTAAGCGGAAGCAAAAGAAGAAAATAACGCCACTAGCTCGGTTAATTGCTCAGTCCTGGGAACACTAATGTGTAGCGAACTAATGTTTTATAGAATTCATCATAGAAAGTGGCGCAAGTTTTGAAATTTTGTCTGACTCTACCTTGGTGTTGGCTCTTGAATGTATATCAAGGAACCCAAATAAATGACCACGCAGAAAAGGAAACAAATGTCCAGTGGCGCTTTGCAACATTCACGTAGGGGCCGCTTATGGCTACGTTAATTCGTAATTCGAAAGTAACTTGAATATAACTATCTAACCATCTTTAATTTCCACATTTACACATTATGTGCTGTTACTGAAGTGGTAAAAGTATTTACTACGCATTATTCAAGCTTTTTGAATAATTTTTTGGCGCAGGTCAATGTTTTGAAATCTGTTCATGTTGATTTTGATTTGACATTATTTCTTTCAATATTCATTTATTCCTCAGTAATGTATTGATATCGCCTCTGTAATAGAAATTTATGTGATTGTATTCAGCGTAACTAACATAGGAACTGAATATTCATATTTTTTCATGTAATTGATTTATTGTTGATTGGGGCATGTTAAATGACAATGCTGCTTTTGTATAAAACTGTAAGATGACAATGCCTAATTGTGGTTTGTCATTCACATATTCTGGTCGCAGCTGCCTGATCTATGAATGAAGCTAAAGCTTTTATCAGGCCTGGATGACCCTGACAAAAATCATTATTCGAAAACCTGGACATTTGATGCAGCAACGAGTGGCACATCTCAGTTTAGTTCAAGTTGGAGAAAAACGGCCTGTCATAAATAAGCTCGATCGCAGTCAGTGTTTTGATGGCTGAAATCGGAAGCACAAATTTAGTGCAGACTAGTGCTCTTCAAAAGCTCTGGTATTGTTAATTCATGATCCTAATGTGTGCAGAGGATATAAAATGAAGGTGAAAGTTCCTCCATGAGTTTGATGACGAAACCCCTATAGTGTTAATTCAGTGCGATGTCACCGGTATTGCACAATTCGGCAAAGCCAGCGACATAAAAGGTTCAGAAACTTGCCGTGTCAAATTGTTGGCAGCCTAATAATAACAGAATGTAGTCCTCTTTTATCCTATAATCATATACGAGATGTCGCAAGCACTGTAGCAACCTGACGTCACAGCGAGTTTGTGCCGGGCTTATGAGGCGGCGAGTTGCGTTGTATCCTAGAGGACGGTATGAATAGTTGTGAATGACCAGTTGTAAATGAACCCCGGAGCATGGATTGCACGCGCAGAACTGCGACGATGCCATGCTCCCGTCGTACAAGTGGGGTCCCGAGGAGCCGGCGCTGTTCAACGCCTACCAGGCGAGGCTGCGCAACCGCGGCCTGGTGCCCATGAGCTCGCGCTTTCCCGTGCGCTTCATCATACCGCAAACGGTGCCGGCCGACGCTGTGCTGCCCGTCATGTTCGCAGCCGAGCCGGTCAAGCCGCCCTCGTGGTCGCCGATCAGCTGGCGCCCCGGCGGGGGAGGACATCACGAGGTGAATTTACCTCTATTCCCCATACGTAGACTCGCATGCTCTACAAATATTTTCTATAGATTGCTTATAATGGACGCGCAATCGTTTGTACCAGGCGAAGGTATTTTTGTTATCTGGTGATGATATTCGGTATTTTAAGGCACAAGGGCCAGTGGTGGCCAAAGAACGCCAGGTAATGGTAGGAGATTTGATCATTGGTGGTGTTAGGTGGCTGTATAAGGGCTTAGAATTGTTCGCACTAAAAGTGCGTAAAACAAATATATTGGTGACGTGTGTAATGATGATAGATGAGTAGTGCTTGCGATACTACAATAAAGTGTCCTACTCGGTGTAGAAATAATACGTTCTACTCGTCGCAAGGCACCTCTTTGTGCTTCGAAATATAGTCGAATGTCATCGTCGGCCTCCTGTATGTACACCTGATCCATTTATTAGTAAAACTGTTCTTAGAGCTAACACACGTAACCTTGATGCCAGCTATCACGTGTCGGTGCGTGATGTACACGTAAGGGTAACTTTGATGATGTCCCGCACCTATAATGGCGACTGACAAATTCCTGCAAGAATGTGAGGGGTTTGTGCCAGAAGTTTTCTAAGCACTCATCAATTGCAATTGCTTTTCTGTCAAGTGCCTCTGGCCCCTCTGTTAACTTTCATGCTACCCGTGGTCTCCGCGATTAGTTCCAGCAACAGCGCGTTGCCGGAGCCAACCAAAAAGGCCACGCGTTGTCGCTCAGTAGCATCGGATCATGCGTCAAGCGAAGGTGGTGCACTGTTGTACGCACCACAAATGAAGCTGTATCGGCACATTTAGGGTTAGAAATGATTATAATAAATAAGTTTGATGCGCTTCTATTCTGATATATATAATATTAACCACGTGCACTAGTAAAAGGTCTCGTGATCGCTTATATGCATCTTCGCATTTTGTCGCGTGAGGCACTAAAAGTGACTTTACTGAAGAAATAAAAATGTAAATGTGCTTCGAGTGATAAGGCAGGGCTTGTTAGCGAATGCGGTATAGAGTCATTTATTAGTGGTTTCATCTTTATGAAGTGAATCTAGATTCGACTTCTGAGTTTTTGTCTGTCCCATTAAGAGATGAAAAAATTGCACAACCTTTCGCTAAAGGGAACCATGTGTTTGGATGCGAAGCGGGAACTGAGACCTACATTGGCGGCGCCGTTGACGCTGTCTCTCGTCGCGCGTTTCGCAGGCGAGAAACCTGAGGAGGCAGCGAAGCGCGCTGTGATGAACTGGTGTTTTCTACTAGAACATGCCAATCACTGCTAATGGCCAATGAGAGACTGAAGACTTTGGTCGGACACAAAGGTCTGCCGTCTGCTTTTAATTAACGCACATGCTGCGAATTTTTATCGTTCAACAACGCACCGAAGAAATCTCCCGCCGTAATTAATTTGAAAGTTAATACTCAGTGCGTTTGTATATGTAGCGGCCAGTCAACGATTGTGCAGCGCGATCAGTCGGTTTTTTCAATTAAGAAACTTGCTAGCGGACGCTGCGTGAGTTGACGTCGCGAGGCGAGAGAAGGGGAGCGTAGGAGAGAAGAGATGGAGAGGGGACGCACTTCTACAATGAGGTTGTTAACGCCGTTGGAAGGGATGCCTAGAGAAGAGAGAGAGAGAGAGAGGGGCGCACATGGGCAGTAAGGGAGGTCATGCCGCACAGCGGATTGAGCTCGACCATGAGACGCTTCAAATCTAAAAGAGCAGAGTGGCTTGGAGAATAAGGCAGCTGGTACTCTACCTGATATAACACGAAGAAAACGACATTGGCAGGTCTGCGCAATGAACAGGTAACCGAAGGTCAGTTAAAGCGACTGAATGGTTATGAGAAAGATGTGAAACTATAGCCGAGGTTGGTAGAGGGTAGAATGGAGTGGGGGAAAGAAGAAGTTTACAATCCTAACTAGGTGTCGCCCTGCACAGGATAGGGCAAATTTGGGATCCTTTCCATGAGCATTCGTCGTCCTGAACACCTTATGTAGACGGAATATGACGATGTCCAAGAGAGAAAGTATCAAGGATTTCTTGCCGTGCTTCATGAGTTTCTCACGTCTGGTAATTATTTGGTCTTGGAGTACCAACAATGTTTATGTTTTTATCATTATTTCGAAAGCCTTCCCCTAAGAATACTTTCTGCAAAGCAGCAGATTTCTACCCCGGCTTCATGGCTCGTTTAACAATTTCGCGTCAAACAAAGAAAGGATCCCTTGAAAATTCTATTCTGTCTTTAGGCATAGAAAGTCATGGTATCAAAAATACACATGCAAATTGGCGTCGTGTATAAAGGATAACAGTGCAGAGTGGTAACGTCCATGAATCAAACTGTCGAGGTTGCTTACGTTTCCTCTCTGAAAGACCCGGCGCCTAGATACTTTCGCAACAGAGAATGCGTTGTCTGGCTAAAAGTGCAGCCACCATTAGTGACCTCAAATTACTGATTACATGGCGCTAGAGCACAAAAAAGTATACTTAAGTGAGATAATGGTTAAACTTGGTAATAGAGAACGGGCAAAAATTAAATGAAGGTGGCGAAGCCCCCTTGAAAATCTTGCACTAAATGCCATGACATCATAAGTTTTGACAGTCTTAACTGAGGCTTACATAGCTCCTAACAGGTAAAAATGAAGCAAGTTGTCTGCTGATGGGGCCAAAGACTTGACATTTCGGGAAACTTTGTTGAGGGTTTGTCGGTAAAACGTGGAAATCAATTCGAAACTCGAGACATTGCTCACGCTGATATCGGCGAGAAATAAAAAAAACAGTACTTTGACCTTGATTGAGAAATAAAAAAAAAACAGTACTTTGACCTTGATTTTCTCCTCTAAAAACGAGCCTATGATGATAATATTAACTCTAATGTTCTCAGAGTACCCTTTGTGAGTCTAAACCAGTTCATTGTGTCACTTTCAGTGTCATTTTAAAGTAGTGCGTAGCATAAAGGATTTGATCATTCCTCGTAATTTTCATCGCTCTATTAATAAGGGTCACGTGGAGCGAGTGTGGTCCCTGCCACCCAACCTGCCAGCGCTAGACCTGAACAGCCTGGCGGTATCCATGAACAGGGCAGAAGGTGCAGCCGGAGCCCCAAGAGGGCCAGAAGCACCTCGAAGACTCTCGCACGGGATGCTTCAACCACCACCGCAACTGCCGTCACAGCAGGTAGGTCTTTCTCCAGTTGGAACTGGCTCCAAGTAGTTAGCTGGAGCCCCTCGCTATACGCAAACAACGACCCCAGGCAAGCACAATTTTAAACTCCAGTCGAACTTTTATCAGGGTACTCCCCTGAGGCAGTACTTCAGTATGAGTGAACAACAACCACAACGACGACGACAAGAACAGACACAGAAGGAAGGACAACAACAACGGCTAGAGCAACAACAACGAGAACAAAAGACAGCAACAAACATGGGAAACACGCAAGACACACCAAACGCACACAAGAAGTTGAATTTATTGTGTTACCGAAATTGTTTCCATTGTTTATATTGTTACGGGTATGGAAATGTACCCCTGTCACGGGCGCCGAAACGCCACCGTGTGGATGAACATGATGACCTTGTTGTTGTGAGACTGAGTTGGATCTGCCCTGTGGTCTTGAGTTCGTGTGCGCCGTGTGCAGTCTTCAACCGTCCGGCGTTAACAAAACGAATACTCCCAGTAACAATACGTTAAAACAACAAAAGTGCAATGTGCGTGCCCATGCCTCATCATTCGATAATCTCCCGTCATTTTCATTGATACATCCCTCGTCATTTTCATCGATCACCCCTCGTCAATTGTTGCACAATCGTACAGAATAGATTACCAACTTGAATATAATGTTGCCCTTATTCACAAAGCTTGCACACAGCGAACGAAGGAGCTGACACAGGTAAGATCGGCTGGTGTCGACAATGTCTGACAAATGGGGTGAGCCTGCCTAGTTCAAAAGCACAAAAATTGAAAACGCATGCCTTCAACTCTCTTTAAAGACGTGGTGGGAGAAACAGCATCGTCTCTTGTAGAGCATCGTTCGAATCTTTTCTTCGCAGGTCCGCAACTTCTTGCCCACGCTGAACCCCAACAGCCTGGGACCTCAGTTCTCCGATTCGCCGATGCGGTTCGGTCTGCTGGGCCGGCTGTTTATTCGGCGTCACGAGGGGCACGAGGACGTGCTGTTGCCGTCCATCCCGACGCAGCCACCCGAGCAGTACTTGAACCCCAAGTTGCCACCCATGACGTACCCTGTGCAGCCAGGTGGACCCATTGCGCCAGCCGCACATGACTCGACCTCGTCGGAAGGTGCGTGAACAGTTCTGTTTAATGGGTTAGGTACGACCATGTCATCACGTGGTGGTGACGTTGAGCAATGCACTAACCAAACCGTATAAGACTTTCCCAAACGCTGCTTGCACTTGGTGTTTAAAAAAGTGACGCCTGTGCGGCAACAATCCGAGGGGCGACGTTATTTCGGACAGTTATTTAGTGATTGCATGCCGTTGTAGTTGATGTGCCTGGTACGCACGCCACACGCTAGCCACTCAATGTGTGCAATGACGCCGACCCACAACGCAATACGTCGCTCGAAGACAATAAATGCGGCCCGAGCAGCTATTCGCCGACTTCCTCGCATGAAATCGATTCCCGCACTGCGTGGGATCTGGCGGATTTTTCATTATCATTATCATCCAGCGCAATGGAGCAGTGTGGTTATGGTGATTGGCTGCTGATCCGAAGCTCAGAGGTTTGATACTCGGCCGCGGCGGTCGCAGCTTGTTGGAGGCGCGAATGGTAGAGGCTCGCGCGATGTCAGCGCACACTAAAGAACAACAGGTAGTCGAAAATCCCGAAACCCTCAAACACAGCATCTCTCATAATCTTCCTGTCGTTTTCGGGACGTGAAACCCCATATAATATAAACTTTATGTTATGGGCAGCTCTTTACTAAACAAAACTGTGTCCTGTGAACGAAGCAACACTCACATTGTATACAAGCAACTAACATTCGCGGTAAAATCATGGCGGCGGGCATGATCCCCGATCGCATAGTCAGTGAAACATGCTGACAGTTCTCGCTTTAGTTACCGGAGCATGCAGGTACGCGGCACCGGGGACAGAGTGTTTATATCTACCTAGGAACGGCGAAAACAGACATTAGTGATTTCAATGCGAGAGCGTTAAGTAGAAACAGACATAGGCAACATTCACCCGAAAAAAAAAGCAAAGAAAAATATCATGGTACCAGCTGGGTTCAAGTATCCTATCAAAGAAGCATGCCAGGTCTCGAAACTGCTTTGGAAAATACCCTCTAAAAGCGTAATGTTTGTGAAGCGTCAGTTATGATCCAGTTTTACAGGCATTAGATATCTACTCTTATGATACAGGCCTCACGTCAGGTTGAAGTCAACTATATACTTAAGCGCCATCCACTGAAGTTGGTCTACTTAGCACTGGCCAGCGCTACTATCCTCGTAGGCAGAAGTGCGCACGTCGTGAACACACTCTCACTCGAACATTTACACTCAAGAAAGTTACACAGCATTCGAGCTTGGATGAAATGTGTGAAACTCGTCAAGAATAAAAAAAACAAAACAAACAAGCGCGCGTCAGTCCGAGAAAAGCATATGGGTTGTTTCCTTTTTCTTTTTGCGGTATACAAAAGCCATCTTTTTCTATCAGCCAGCGCATAATCTTCCCGCTCCCATCCATTGGAAAGATATCTGCTCCAAACGTGGTTTGCACTGCTTCCAATCGGCGCTGCACCCGACCGAGTTTCGGACTACCTTCGAGATTTCTCCATCAAGTGACGATGTCATTTGAAAAGACAGTTCAAAAGGGCAGACTGATGAGCTTGTTGGTGACACGTACTTCAGGCAGCTGCGCAAAGAATCTCATGTTCCATCAGCTCCTACGACTCACCTAGCCATACTCTTAACATCGCTCATGACCGCTCGAATGCTTTCACTAACCCTGCTTGCACTTCGTCTCTGAAAAAGGGACGACTGTGTGACATTACGATTGGCGACGTTACGTCGCACCATTAGTTGTTCCTTACATGCCATTGTAGATGTGCCTGGTAAGCACGCAATATAATGTGCGCAAAGCAGTCGACCCACATTGCAATACGTCGCTTGTAGACAATAAATGCAGCACGAGCGACTTCACCGACTTCCTCGCATAAAATCGGTTTTCACACTACGAGGGGCCTGGAGGATTGTTCATTTATTGCCTTCTGCCTGTCTCATGTGCACTCGCACTTGTATTTTTATTTTAAAGGCGAAGCTCCGTATGTCGTGGGTCGTGCGTCTGCGATGTATCTAGTAGTAGTATACCTAGTAGTATATACTACTACTACTAGCAGTAGTAGTTGTTGTAGTAGCTATTGTAGTAGTAGGTAGCCACCTCTCGTTTAGTTTTTGAATGTATGCTGGATGGCGGTACTTCTATATGATAAATATACGATGAAAAGATGCGAGATGGTGATAATTGTAGCGTTCAACGTACGGACTCACGGACGGACGGAGAAACAGACAGATGCACGGATGGACGGACGCACAGATGGGCGCATGGACGAACCGACGAACACATGGACGGACGAACGAACGCACGAGCGAACGAATGGATGCACGGATGGTTTCACGGACGGCCGCACGGCCGCTCGCAAGGGCAGATGGAAGCAACTACGAACGGATGAATGGAAGCGCGAACGGATAGACGGATGCTTCGCTCCACTCACAATCATTCAGTTCGTGGATGTGCTGTGATTTTTTAACATGAAAGTGTTTTATGCCGAGGTCTATCGAGATTGTAGTGACATATTTCTGTCACCGATATGACGTTGAAAAATGAACGCCACCGAATGTGAGCGAACGAAAACTGTAAGCAAAACTTTTCTACCCGGGACCGAACCTCCAACTCCTTGGCCCGCGATGAGAAGCGCCCGGTTCTGTACTAACGAAGCTATCGAGGCAGATGCAAGGCACCGTAAAAAGGCACGTCATATCACTCACATTCTCTCTCGCACAGTGATGTCTGTGGGCGAAAAGTGGTGCCACCATCTGTGAGTGGGGGCGAGAAGTAATGCTGCATGACATACACTAGCACCGATAAAGAAAGATTCGTTGACGTAGTTAGAGCATGGCATTCGATATGACACGCCAGGTTGCAACCTCTTAGGCCATGGTTAAATCATCTCGATAGCAGCGTAAAAACACTGGCTGCTCCAGCATGGAGGAGTCACCCAATATAGACCCCGCCCTAGAGGCAGTTAGGACTCTATGCCGAAGTAGTGAAGCTTCCCCATGGACCAATTGTGTTCCGCCACTGATAGTAAAACTGCTGCAGTAAATGTAGCAAAAAAAGCAACGACGTCGACGGGTTAAACTCGTGCAATGGAGCAGCGAGACTAGCGGAATGTTCAACGTCTGCGCGCGTTCGTGGATTCAACTACGAACCTCTGCCTTTCGTGTTGCTGAAACATACGTATGGTAGCGTAAAGTGTATGCATGTTTTCGAAAGCGCACATCTTATTTGACACTTTGAAGGGCATATTGTCACGCGCCAGGAGCTCGAAGAAACGTACAAGGAGACGCGACTGTCAAAATCTGAGACACAAAGAAGGACGTCTCCGCTGGCACGGGTTGCTCGTTTTCGTCTTCCTCGTTCACCGGCACAGAACTGACCCACTGTTCACTGGCACAGATCATCAGGTGGCATCGCTCCTCCCCCCAAGAGAGCATCACCCCGATGTCCAAGAAAAGTGTGCACAGTAGTGGGTCAAAGTAGGCAACATAAACAAACATTAAACACAGTAGCGCACGAGAGAAAATGCGTCCGGGGCCCGGCAATCGGAAATACACAGCATTCACTGTTCGCATAAGGAGTTCACTGGCACACGAAGAAAATTCGCATCACCGAGTAAAGTATGATTTTAGGCGGACGAAGTGTACAATCTCTGTGCGTGGTGACCTGCGCTGCGATGATGGTGAGCCTCCGCCCGGAACCACTTCGTAGTTGACGTCGCTCACACGTCTTTGTAACAAAGTACTTTACAAAGTACTTTGTAAAGTCCAAAGTACTTTCTCAAGAATTTATTACTGAGACCTCGCCGCCTAATGGGGGTCCAAACCCAAAATCCACACCCAGGTTCACAATTAACTTCTCGATGGCGGATGTTGTACCGCTGTGCATCTGCGCGCTGTTGAGTTATGATGTGCACACGGGCCAGTTGACGTGCTTCCTCAGCGTGCTGAATGTACTCATTGATGTCGGGGGCTAATTGATTGAGCTCGTTGATGTCTTCATACGGAATCATGGCGTCTAGCATAGTTCTGACATCTCGACCATAAACGAGCCGAAAGGCGTGAAGCGTGTAGTTTCCTGCATTGCAGTGTTGTACGCAAATGTTACGTACGGCAGGATGTCGTCCCACGTTTCGTGCTGCACATCCACGTACATAGAGATCATGTCAGCTAGCGTTTTGTTTAGCCTTTCTGTTAAACCATTACTCTGAGGGTGATACGCAGTGGTCTTTCGATGGGTTGTATAACTCAACCTGAAGATATCATCCGAGAGTTTCGCTGTGGATGATGTCCCTCGATGAGTGATGACATATGACGGGGCGCCATGACGTAGCACAATTTGATGCATAAAAAAACTGGCAACTTCAGCTGCGGTCCCTCGTGGCAATGCCTTCGTCCCAGCGTAACGCGTCAAGTAATCGGTTGCAACAATAATCCATTTGTTGCCGAAAGAAGACAAAGGAAACATGCCTAGGAGGTCCATCCCACTTGATCAAACGGTGTGGGCGGTGGATCGATCGGTTGTAGATGGCCTACAGGCTTTAAGGGTGGTGTCTTGCGACGCTGGCATTCACGGCATCCCTTCCCGTAGCGTTTGACACAGACAGAAATTTTAGGCCAGTAGTGTTGTCGCACCGGATCCATAGTTCTCGAGTAGCCCAGATGGCCGGATGTGGGCTAGTCATGGCAAGCTAATAAGACGTCATTGCGGAGGGCTTCAGGACCGACGAGAAGATGCGATCTGTCACCAGCACCGGTGTTCTTTTTGTATAAGACGTCATTTCCTAGGCAAAATGATGGCAACGTTCGCGACATCGGACGAGGAATGGGCGCGGTGCCACCTTCTAAGTGATCTATAATCATTCTTAGATCGGCGTCATTTCGTTGATGACACATCAGATACGGCCCGCTCAGAGTTGCCACGAAGGCGCCGTCCTCTTCTGCGCTTGTACTGGCGGATCGAAGAGGTGTTCGTGATAGCGTGTCGGCATCTTCGTGCTTTTTGCCTG